CCTGAAGGTCACGTGACCCCAAGGTCACCCCAAGCTCACGTGACCCCGAGGTCACGTGGCCCCCTCCCCAAGGTCACGTGACCCCTCCAAGTCACGTGGCCCCTCCAGGCCACGTGACTCCCCGAGGTCACGTGACCCCTCCTAAGGTCATGTGACCCCTCCCAAGGTCACGTGACCCCTCCCAAGGTCACCTCAAGGTCACGTGACCCTTAAGGTGACCCCCACGTGACCCCCAAGGCCACCCCAGCTCACGTGACCCCCCCCCCGAGATCACGTGACCCTCCCGAAGTCACGTGACCCCCCGAGGTCACGTGACCCCCCCGGGGTCACGTGGCTACCCGCAGGTGACGTGACCCCCCTCAGTACCCTTCCCTACTCCTCCTCAAGAGCTGCGCTCGCATTCGGCGTTACAGGGATTTGTAAACGGCTTTCATTTTTTTTTCACAAAAAAAATTGCTTATCTTGACATGTGCTGAAGCGATAGTGCGGTTTACTTCGTTGGTGTTTTTTTTTTTTTTCAAGAGATGTTTAGTTGTGAGTCGAGCGCTTGTGTTGTTCGCACCTTCCCTTCACCCTTGTCTATTTTTTCGCGCAGTTTATTTCCAGCAAAACATTCTAGCGTCAGCAAACGTCGTTTTGCCAACTTTAAGTTTTGCGACCTCATTTGGCGCAGAACAAATTTACTTGTGATCATCTTTTAACCTCCTGAAAAATTTGCATCCTGCCGAAAAATCATTTTTGGAGAGAGCACTCATCTACTATCAGCGCAAATGCTTTGTAAGAGTAACATGTATCTACGGGCGTTATCTGGACAGTGCCGCATCACCTATATGACATTAGTTTTCTCGCGCTATTAGAGCAAGAGCATGAATGTCTATGTGCGTCTTGTACGTGGACTGCAGATTGTACTGAGTGGGTTCATGCCTACTATGCTAGAATCTTAACAATTTAGCCCTGTTGAGAGTGGGGCGGTAAAATAAATATAACGCAGTTAATACCTCTGCCAGACGGGCACTTAAAAGAGCCTTTACGCCAAAGGCCTTTAGGACTTTCAAATGTCCTTTAACTTCTGCCGTGCCAGACACCGCAAGGAAATGCCGTTTAGACGATGTTTACAGCGATTAAAGTCTTCTATCTCGTCCGAACGCATAAATAACGTTCACGCCAGAAAAATAATATTGTGGTGATATAAATAATTTTTTAAAGTTTTTTTAAGCAAACAAGTTATCAAGCAAGACAAAATGACGAGTTCAGTCGAGTGATTACAACAAAGCCCATTTTAAGCCCAAGCAAGGCGTTTTTTTTTTTGGCAATTAGCGGCAACCCTGAGCGTCTCCCGCTCACTCAGTTTTATCATTCAGTTGCTCAGTGCTCCCGCTCCTTTCCACGCTTCTGCTAAGCTTTTGCCCTATTCGGTTCGGTGCCATGCTCGCGCTTGAGGTTCATCGCACGCATCGAAGGTCCTCCAGGCGATCCTCCCAAAGTCGTATCAGTGCCCAGGTCGCCTCAACGCTCCACTGGAAGCGCGGTGATCCCTTCTTCGTGGACGCTCGCCCGTCGTTCGACATATCGCACGATGCGAGAGTGAGACAGACATATCTATGTACAAATAATATTAAATATATACAGTGCAGTTAGCAATACACTATTACAGGATGATAAATTATAAAGTAGATAAATGAAAGCTAGATAACCATGGTTGTAAGGAAGGTGGAGAGGAGGAAAACCTAAGTGCCAATACGGACGACCGGATCAGGCGGGCCGCGGGACGACGACGAGGCCTGCTATACTAAGCGATAACTTTTCTTGGCAATGCAGTGGAGGGTACAGGCACGCGTTCCCTATCCCATTTTGAGCACTGGATATGGCTGTGCGAGGGCTCTCCTCAACTTCCAGTGCATTGCCAAGAAAAGTTATCGCCGAGTATAGGTAGCTGGGGCTATGAGTACAGAAAACTATTAGAAGAGCGTGTTCTGTACAAAATATACGTGAGAACGCTCTTTTTTAGTAATACACATACCAAAAATTAATTTTAGATATCAGTCCGATCTTTTTTTTTTTTTTTTCAATTAGCTTCTCTAGCGTAGACCGCTGCTGACGAGAGTACGCCTTCAACAGCCGTAAAAGAGTTGCGGGAACTCAGGTTCACGAAACAGACTTTTACGCTAAATGCTACTTGAGTTGCCGTGTGACACTGCTTAAATTACATTTTCATTAAAGATCATTTGACGCAATGGTCTTTTTAGGTTCCCGTCCGACAGGGGTATGACTCATCTTCCGTGCCGACCAAGGCCGATTTGATTGTCTGTACAGAAAAGGGCGGTCGAGGAATAAGATATGGCTTGCTCTGTTCAATAAAACCATTCTTTCAATCGCGAGTGTTTCGTCATTTTTGTTTATTGTTAATTGGCTGGTTTATATCTGCAGCGTCTAACCAAGCAATATACTGCAGTTTATAAAAGATAATAGCATCGGCAATGCATAAGTATTCGAATTATTTAGATGTCTAGGAATAATGAGGCATGCTGAGTAGGTTGGTACCTATAGGTCAGGGAAACGATCATTTGAAAGTAATCCTTCCGAGTCATAATGATTGAAGTACCTGCGAAACTGAGTACACAACTGCGTGTACTTCGGCGCACCTTTAAATAGAGTTTGAAAAAGGTAAACTTCAACATGACTGCTTTATTAATAGACAACCTGCTGCAAAGGTAGTCAACATTATTTGGGTCCTCTCTCCATTTCCCGAATCATGAATGAGTAAGTTAAATGTTATTGGAATAGATGTATCATTCCATAGCCTGTAAATTGCTAAAAAATTTGCCCAGGTTTTTGCGTCGTACATGTTTAAGGAAAACGAGAATACCTTTAAGAGTCACTTTTCATAGCCTGTGCGCAAACAATCTCCAATCAAGCTGACAACATTACAGCACCTTAGCAGGTCCTCATGACTCGTATTTCGAGTCGTCGTTATCTGTTAGGAATACTCAACTTTTGATACTAGTCAAAATATTCCTAGTTGTCCTATTGCCTTGAAACTACGCAGATATGTATTAGTTTGAAGTGTCTCTTCAGCCTTTGTCGCAGCCTCAAACGCTAATAAAAAAGTCACGTGGTGAATTGAGCTTAACCTTCTACTAAGAATGGTAATAGCAGGCAAGCATTGTCACTTTGTCCTCTCCTTCGTGTTCGTCCTCTGTGTTCGCGGATGCAAGCATACTGAGTATTATGAACCAACTAGCCCAACAACAAGTATTCCTAAACTGTCACATTTTTCACTGGACAAAACACTTGCGCCTAAAGATCACTGAAGTTTGAATTATAAGGTGCCCTGATTTTTGAAATATAATCGTGCCGTTTAAACATTAAGGTATATTGCGGTGCAAATCCTTTCCTCGCTCAACTTTCCTGGCTCGAACTTGGGTACATATACACGTTTGCAAGTGGGATCCCGGCTTAACCCCGAACCGCGCGTCGAGGTGAGGCGGACCTACTCTCTAGGCACGACGTTCCTTGCTTGTCGTACAATGTTGACAATCGTCTCTTGCGAAAGAGAAACATAGATCTTAAAGAATTCAAGAATAAAAGGACAAAATGAACCTTCCTTGTTCTTCGAAACGTTTTAGCACGTGTTACATGGCTGTTTTCATCCCAGTTAAAACCAAAACGAAAACATAAACGCTTCCAAAGAATGCAAACGGGAAGGACGTCAGGAGCCATATGGCCATTGCATCAACGACTGCTCCGCTCGCGGCATCGCTGGCTTCCACATCGTGCTGCAACAGAGGCTTCGATCGTTATAAAGTCAACTCGGACCCTTAAACATGCCCCCTCTTACAATATTTGAAGCTAAGGTTGTTTATAGATACCTTCCCCTACGTTCCAAAACAGTATGTTAGTAGGTAACGCTGGCCATCGGTGATGCAGCAGACGTCGCCATCTTGTCCTCGCGCCCATCAATAGTGTGCTCCTAGCCCACCTCAACATGGCGGAAACTACGCGGCGCAAAGCTCGCTCAAAATGGCAGCGCTCAGAATGCTTTCTTTCAAACGTGTATAAACATAATTTTATAGCTGCTTGGACTAGCGCAAATACGCTTTAGTAAATTGTCCTCACCTAAGTGTTGCAGTCCCCGCGGAGTTTTTGCTAATAAACTGTCAAGAACATGTATTTCTTTCTTATTATCTAAATTTACTTATGAGGCTGCCATTTTCGCACTTTAGATAAGTCCATTCTAAATGCGGCTTGAACGTTTTTCTTAAGTTACGAAGTCACTGTTGGATATTATCCGCTTACAAACTTCAAAAATTATTACATCAGTCGAGAGGACGCTTGAAATTCATGGCTCACAGTTAGTGTCATGCTGTAAAGATGAAGATAAGATACCAGTGGGCCCTTTAGGGAAAAAAAAAGAAAAAGATTATCCTGAGTAATTTCTTCTGCTTGGGTGGCAGACCGGATTTCTTAACTTACAATGAAATTATGCGTTTTGTAACTGCAGAAGAGTTATTTAGTTGACCAGCTCAATCAGATACAAAAAAAATAAAAAAAACATAGCTAAGTTCTTATTCCGTTCGTATATCTTGCACATAAACTATAAATTAGAACGTAGACAAAACAACATATGCAAAAGTTGGCGGAGCTCGCCATATTTAATAAAAAAAATTCTACGTTAATGGCGAGTGACCGATATACTCTGTCGTTGCAGTATAAGGGAGGGAAGGCAGGCAGGAAAGCCAGAGCGACAAATATTAATTGTATTTCTGCGATCTTTTGTTTCGAGGCCCTGGTTTCAGGACGTACGATTTTCTACGTGATGTGAAGAATAGACATAAAAAAAAACATATAAATGCGTACAAATCGACATATAAAATTTTGCAATCCTGGGAAAGATTGAGTTGACTGTCTTCGATGTATTAATGTTTATCATTTAGAATCTATGACACAATGCCTAAGAGATCGATCGCGTAAGTAATAATTTTGCTTATTTGCTTTTACAGACACCCAAATTAACGGAACAACAGATCAAAATATTTACAATACGACTGATTGTCAAACCAAAGGTATAGTTTCTTTTACCATCATTTCCCAACCTCTCCGGTTTTAGATATACTTATATTAAATGTGGCTCGTGTGTGCACATATGAATATAAATTCCGGGGTGAATACCATCCGATTTCCAAGTTAAGGTATGCCCATCAGTAAGAGGAACGTTTGGAATTGCTAGCTTAGTATTTCGAAATGCTCGTTAAAGAAGGAAATGTGATAATATGACACCGGCGCAGCCCTTTAAGATGAAAGGAAACGTAACCCTATCGCATTTCTTTTTTGTACTTCTTTAGGGGGCACTACTCCAATGACGATCCCAGTTGTACTTTGGTATTCCCATGTAAAATACACGTTCTGTTGTGAGAAAGCTCATATTTAGCTGACCACCTCGCTGAATAGTAAGGAATGTAAATGTTTTTATAAAATAAAAAAAGAATATATAAGAAAGCTTTTGTGATGCACTAAATTATTTAGCTATATTTACATTTTGATGCTTTTCTGTTGAGGTGTTCTTATATCAAGAGGCTCAGTTTTTTTCGTCAATTAAGAACATACAAAAATGTAAATGCATAAAGGTCGAAGTCGATGCATTACAGACTATGTAAAAGTGTTGTGGTGTATTTTTTGTATGTATATTTTTAAGATTTTTTAATCTAATGCAATCTCAAACCTAAGTGCCAAGTGTGGCTCGCTTTTGCAGATGTTCACGTTATTGAAACAGGAAATCAAAATATATGCAATACAAGTGCTTGCCAAACCAGAGGTAGGTTTTTCACCCTGGCCCGACCTCTACTCCTACTCCCCTTCAGCAAAAGCGCACACGAGCCTGGATGTTGATGCTAAGGACGTGATCTAGACAAATGTTTTTTTTTTGAAAATCTATAAACTAAGACAGAAGGAAATATGGCAACGTTCCAAATATGAATGCCAAACATATGAAGAAATTCGACATCCCCCCCACTAAAAAAACATAAAAAACATAAAAAAGGGTGTGGGGAATGGAGAGAACTAGGTTGTTTTTTCCAACATCCTCCTTGCCAAGTAAAAAGTCAAATCGAAAACCTTTAGTGATGTCAGCCGTAGGGCAAATCTAGCTGTTTTAGTTATTTTGTATTCAGCAAGATGAAAAAGGTCAGCCTACTGGCGCCTATTGTAGGCGAGAAAGTAGAGTAGAAAAGTCACGAGCATGCCCTATGCGGTGTTTTGTACGCATGCCTGTAGTGAACGCGGATTAGACCTTTCTTATTTCTGAGCTCCTCGCATATCGGTGTCTAATTGGATGATACGCATAGAGTTTGGGTCTCTTTTAATAAAAAAAAATGTTAACATAGTCCCGCAAAAATGTTTTTGTTTTATTGTTTACGCTCCATTATTAGTGCTCACGCACATAAACGTATATATAAGCAATGAATAAAGGCTGTTCAAGGGACTCTGACTGCGTAATTGCGCTGGCCAAGGATTTTATTTGTATATTGCCATTGAAGCCCAACTGCCCAGAATATAATTTGTGGCTCGAAATTCGCTGTCTTTCCACCCGAAAACCGCCGGTCGAGAACTGGCCGGTTTAAGTCGTGCCCACTCTATTTTCTGCGGTCACGTGCCGCTTTCAACGGTTTAGACCAGCGGTGGCCAGGCTGCGGCTCACGAGCCGCATACAGCCATTCGCATGTTAAAGTGCGGCTCGTGGATCCCAAATAAACATACCCCCCCCCTTTTTTTTCCTTCCGGTCACACGAGCACTTCCCCAAAAAAAGAGACGGAACGCGTTTTAAATTGAAAGGCCGGTTGCGGTTTGGCAGTCGATCTTGCGCTACTGCTAACGTGCTCACAGATGGATTGCTTTTGACTCGGGTATGTCTAAAGCTTTCAAGTATCATTTATTGCTCTGGACAAAAGTTTGCCCCCCCCCCCCCCCTATTTTGCTGCCTCTTCTCTTCCAGGCGGCTCTTGGAATTTTAACGGTCTTGTTTACGGCTCTTAGGCCGGGCCAGCCTGGCCACCCCTGGTTTAGACACACACACCTAGTATAATCAAAGTCTTGGGTCATCGGAGGCACACACTCAAGATTAAAATAGAAACAAAACATGATACCCATTTTTTTCTGGCTTCTAAAAAAACTGAAAATATATTGATTGAAAAAAAGAAAGTCCGGGACACCTAAGCACTTTTTATGAGTTTTGAATGCGAAAGCAGGCGGCCTGTGACGTATTGCTTCCGCCTCGCATTGTCGAAGGGCCTCGTCCTCTTGCCGCGTTAGACGCTTTGAATCGTGATCCGTTTGCGCCTTCCGAGGGCAGAGCGCGCGCTCTCGTGAAGTGGCCGCGCCGGCTCGGCCGTGCTTCGTCTTTGGAGTCTGCCCATGCGGGCTCTGAAGGTTCCGCGACCAGACGGTTTCTTTTATCGGCGGCCGGGTAGCAGCGCCGCCATGGAGAGGGCTCTCTGGTGGAGTTCCTTGGAACTACGCCGCGCAGGAGTCAATGGGAACGTCATTCCTTGGAACTATGACGCGCGCTAGCCAATCGGAGCCTATCCATCCGATTTCTGCTACAGACGACACGCCTCGCTCCAATGGGACAGGGGAAGGTGCCGTTTGGCGCGGCCTCAAAGGCTGATGACGTCGGTTCGCTCCGTGGGACAGTTAATGCTTTGGAATTAAGAAGCTCTGCAGAGTACCGAAAGAAATCTGTGCATTCTCTGCGTAATTCTCAACATAGCGTCCTGTCGCTGCGGGAGTCACGGGCCGAACGATGCGGACTAAGCGATGGCGATGGACGACGGGTGTGGGACCTCTACTTCAGAACTGTTGTTCGAAGTACCAGCGAATCTGTCTAGCTTTACCGATCAAAAGAATTAGCATTTATTCCGTACAACACTCCCGACCACCAAGCTCATTCGCACAAACACGTCACCGAGTCGTCGCCCCTTCTCCCGTGTATGAAACACGCGCAAAAGTCAAGCACAAAATGCTTGACTTTCGCATTTTTTTGTGGACATGCGGCATGCCCATTTTTCAACCACTTCGCACTATCGTAAAAAAAAAAAAAAAAAAAAAAAACGGGGTCGGGAGTAGTTACGCTACTTCCGGCAACTCTCTCGAGATTTCTTGTTCATCCCCTGTCCAGTTTCTGCTTCCATTTCGAGCAGTACCTTTTTTACTTTATTAAATATAGTTGCGACGCTGCACCAAAAGTTTGATTGGGTAGTCTTCTGACACCATATAAAATCGCGTAACCAAAAATTAAAAAAAAATAAAAAAAATTTGGGAGCTCTCAGTGTCCTTCCAAGAAGCTACACAAGGCAGATATATGACATTATAAAACAGAAGAAGCAACAGCTTACGTTGTTTCTGCAATTATTAACATGTAACCTATTCAGACGACTAATTTGGGTCATTAAGGTTACAAAAGCTAACAAAACGGTTGGCGCGTCTGTCATTGTTATTTGAGGTAAACTCCACTGCGCAGTCAGCACGAAAAACCAATGTCCAGGTTTGTGCGTTTTTACCTTAGAATAGAAATTCTGTCGTCGCGACTCGAAGTGTTGTACAAAGAGCTCATTTAGGACACCCAATGTAGCGCTAAAAGTTTCTGACAGTAAATAATCTATATTACTTAAAACGCAAAAAAATAAATAAAAGAAAGTGCGTTTATTGAATATAACCTTGTGGTAACTATGTCGTGAAGTGTACACGAGTGAAGAGGAATGATGCCAGAAATGTACAATCATTACATGAACACCAGATAAAAACCTAATGTTTTATATACGTCACAATTTCGAAGATGAACTAAAGGGCAATGACGGTTACTGAGTTTAATTTGAAAGTACCCATAAGATATAATGTTTTATGAAAACGCTACCGAAAAGGAACCTTCGCATGCTCTTTTTTTTACGTGAAAAACATAATTTATTAACACAATATAAAAATTAAATTTAAATTCAGATAATATTATTGGGGCAAGATAATTATATTGTTTTAAGGAGATATATTATGGTATATTATAAATGCGTGCATATTTAGAGTTCCATGTAATATGTCTTATGATGTTATAACTGTAATATTTGCGTCTTAATATTTTTAGACAATTCATATTATAAATTTGATTGACAATTAAATTATATTGCACACGATATAATTTGCAAAGTTCTTGGGACATACCGAAAGTTTGCAATTCAAAGGTAAGTAGTTGCAAGATCAAAGCATATGCCGTTTTTATTTAAGCAAATTCTTAACGCATAGTTAAAAAAAGGTATGTTTTTAATGCGAAGACATTAACTCTCCTATGCAGCGAAGCACACTCTAAAAAAAGCCTGTGCGTCAGCTTTCCCGCACAACACTCGGGGAGGCAATCACCGCAACTTACGGAGGGAGCTCAGCGAATGGCAATGCCGAAACATATGTTTAGACCAAAAAGCGCAGTCTGAGTTGTGACATTAAGCAATGCAAGCGTGACGTTTTGCATTGCTTAATGTCACAACTCAGACTGCACCTTTTGGTCTAAACATACGTTTCGGCATTGCCATTTGCTGAGCTGCCTCCGTAAGTTGCGGTGATTGGCTCTCCGAGGATTGTGCGTGAAGGTAGACGCACAAACGTTTTTTAGAGTGCAGGCGGTGTCTGTAGCCGTTGTCTATAGCATCGAAAAACGGCACATAAATTCCCATTTTCACATTGGCTGAGCGAAACGGCACCTAAACTCCCATTGACTGCGACGCGTCATATCAGATGCTTCGTAGCGAAAGTCGGAGGGGCCGCTCGAGGTCAAAGCGGACCTGCCACAGACAGAGAACACAAAGAAAAACACAGCAGCGCAGATGCATCACCACGCAAGCCGTGGAGCCGGCGGGTGCGCCGCGCCTGCGCAGTGTGATGTCACCACCGCGGAGCGCCGTGTGAAAAAGGAAGTCGTGACGCGTTGCTTGTAGGAATGCGCTGCGTGTAGGAATGCTTTCGCATTCCTACACGTAAGCTGTTTGAAGTGTCTTCTTTCTAACATGTTTCTATATATCTGTTTTATTACAGCCAAACTTATAAAGAAACTTCTAAATGATGACATTGATCCATGCACTGATTTTTATGGATATGTGTGCAATAATTGGATTTTTAACGAACCGATTCCTGATGACGAGACGGTCACGAGTAACCTGAATAATATTTATGACCAAATGTTGAATGATTTGAAAGGTATGTGATGTGGGAGCGTTTGAGACAATTATGACAGCTTCATACCGTTGTGTATGGAATTACAGCCCACCACATTTCAAATTGTCACACCGTTTCTTGTGGAATGATTGTTCTAGAATACCCTAATATGGCAGAGTTGATGCTTTCATGCTATAGTGGAAATTAAACGTGAAGAACGTGAAGGAGCGTTGGATTACAGAATATGGGAGGGAGTTCCCAAAGTATGGTTTCGCAATTCACTTCGCGTTGTTGTACGTACGTTACAACAAATTACGTCCAAAATACTGCTTAAAAAGTTAAAAGTTTGTTTATTAAAAATAAGAGATTAGTGTTTCAAACAAAGAACATTCGTCACGACCTCAATGAAGAATAGCGGATGAATATAGACCCCCTGATGATCTCAAATGGCGACCTACATCATGACTAGAAGGCCTGTCCTCCGAAAGAAAGCGGTCACCAGACTGCGATCGTCTGCACTGGAGTATGAAACTTCAGATGGAGAACTGTGGACCGGATCGTTGTCCTAGAGAAGGCCAGGTGTGCACTCAACATGTAATAGAGACCGCGTACTGGTGGTGTGAAGGTAAAAACGCTTTAAGTTGATACGCGTGTTGTTCATTTTTTGTTTTTGGGTTGAATGTCGGTAGAGATGCTGTAATCGAGCCGTTGAGCTCATCGAATTGCTCAACGACAATGGACCTGTCATACAGGCCAGGTTTGTCACCGTGCGCTGCTCATCTTAGCAGGGAGGTCTTTTTTTTACTGCTAAAACATTCCGGATGTAAATGTGTGCCTCAGGTAAACTGAAAAAAAAAAAACGACAACTTGAGTATTGTAAATATTATGAGGCCACCATTTCTGTTTTAACTATGGCAACTGCTTCGCCGCTAAGAAGTAGAGATTTTTAAAAGGTTAAAACAGCGCAAATGACCAGGGACGAGAAGCAGAAGGACACATACACAGCGCTGACTCTCAATTAAGTTTTTATTCATCGTGACCCCATAATAAAGATTTGCTTGGTCAAGACCATAAAAATGATAAAACCGTGATGCATCAACACCACAAAACCACCGTATCGCACTTGCACATTTACACTAGTGACGAGTAAGATAATCTATTTCACTGTTAGATAGGGCAGTAGACGGGCAGCTGACAGACTCGGCGCTTAGTTGGTCGTAATGGCGTTTCACTATTTTATATTGCTGGAAATCCGGACGAGAATCACAATCGCGACAATGAACGCCAAGATGGCCACATACCACCAAGGTCACATTAAAGGCGTGTTTCCTTAATCTTTGATTGAGGCAGCGGCCAATTAGGGAAACACACCTCGAATGTGATCGCGGCGGTATGTGGCCATCTTGGCATTAATTACCTCGATTGTGGCTTTTATCCATATTTCCAGTAATGCAAAATCGTGACACGCCATAACGACCAACTAACCCGCGAAATAATCGAGGCGTTAAAGACATCCAGATTAGGTGCCGAGTGTGTCAGCTGCCCGTCTAATGCCTTATCTAACAGAGAAATAAATTATCTTACTCGTCACTAGTGTAAAACGTGCGCGTACGATATGGTGGTATCGGGGTGTTGATGTACGACTGTTTTATCTTTTTTATGGTCGTTTGTGCGGTCGCGATGAATTAAAAAAATGAAAGACGTTTACGATTCCCTGTAATGTCGATTTAGACGCAGCCCTTGAGCAGGAGGTGGGGAGGGTACGGAAAGGAGGGTATAGCCCTCCTTCGACTTGGTACCCTCTATTCCTCGTCCCTCCTCCTCTCCTCCTCCTCCGCTCCTTCTCCCCTCCTCCTTTCTCCCCCTCCTTTATTCTCCTCCTCCTCTCATTAACCCCCCTCCTCCCCCCTCCTACTTCACTTCTCCTCCCCTCCCTCCCCTCCCTCCCTCCTTCCTCTTGACGTCACTCGTGACCCTAGTGACCCTCGTAACGTCACTCGTAAAGGCTTCTGAAGGTCGTGAGTTTCGCGACCCTCGTGACGTCACACGTGACGTCACATCTGACGCCATTATGGGAAACGTCCCATAATGCAACGCGCAGTTACGCCGACGTCGACGGCGACGGCGACGCCGCTCAAGCAGGAAACGGGCGCCTATGAGCTGCACTCTAAAATTCAGTTGAGAATCAGAGCTGTGTATGTGTCCTGCTTCTCGCCCCTCGTCGTTTGTGTTGTTTTAACCTTTTAAAAATGTCGCACCAACTAGCCCGAGCTTCAACCTTAGATAAGTATAGGTTTTGAATCGTAACAAGCCTGCTACTATGCAAGGAAAGTTTATTTTACCGAAAAGCGGTTCGTCCCCTTCTTAATAGGAGGAAAATAAAATCATCATTGTCACCATCATTTGTGTATTTTGTCGGCTCATGCACAACTAACTGCCTAAATTATGAGGCACCTAGAAAACATTGCATATTTGAAAATGTGGATGCCCGCTCAATGTTGTCATAAAATATTTAATGGGGGCCATAGAACCACTAGGGGCGTTCCATAAGTTTTCGCTTAACACACGAATGCGAGCACACAGACGAAGCAGATGGTCACTTAAGATTCGTGACGCCAAAATTAGCGCGTGCGCACGATGCGATTTTCTTGTGGCGGCCGCCAACAGATGGCAATCTGCGCAGTGGCTCTAAAATGAAGAAAGTGAAGGCGAGTTTGGTGATTGAACATTTGTATCGGAAAAAAACCTAACTCCTGCGGGCATCCATAAAAAAATGGTGGCGATGTAGGCGTACGATGCCCCATACTATTTCACGATGAAGAAGTAGGCCGCGAAATTCAATAAAACACGTGACCTCGGGGGGTCACGTGACCTTGGGGGTCACGTGACCTTGGGGGTCACGTGACCTTGGGGAGTCACGTGTGACCTTGGGAGGAGTCACCTAAAGGAGTCACGTGACCTCAGAGGGGTCACGTGACCCCTCCCGAGGTCACTTGACCTTGGGATGACCTGGAGGTCATGTGACCTTGGGGGTCGCGTGACCTTGGGAGGGATCACGTGGCCTGGGGGTCACGTGACCTTGGGATGACTTTGGGGTCACGCGACCTTGGGAGGGGTCACGTGACGTCGGGGGTTACGTGACCTTGGGGTGACCTAGGGGTCACGTGACCTTGGGAGGGGTCACGTGACCTTGGGGTGACCTTGAGAGGCAGACGGCGACGGCGACGGCGACACCGCTCAAGCCGGAAACGGGCGCCTAAGAGCTGCGCTCTAAAATTGGAGAGCCTCGGAGACGACCCTTGCCTTGGCAGCCGTGCGGAAGTGACCGAGCCAGAAAGCAACGACCGCGTGCACAATGACGTAATGGCAGAACAATAAGTAAACACCCGAGCCATTGCACAAGTCGGAGGCACCTCCAAAGCCACAGTTCAGTGTATCTTGGCCCGAGATCTTGACATGCACAAGGTATCAGCCAGACCTCTCTGGTTTGACCGAAAAGGCACCCGCTACACCACAGCTAAGGACAATCTAGAGCTGCTCAGGTAAGATGCCGTAGGCTTCCGCGCCCCATTTGTGAACGCAGACGAAATTTGGGTCAACCACTTTGAGCTGACAGCAGAGCCCTGTATAAGCAGTGGATCCCCCCCCCCCCCCTCCTTCGTGTCTACCGCCGCAGATGGCCAATCTGTTCCATTAGCTGACAATGTGATGGCTACGCTTTATTTTGGAATTTGGAAGGCGTGCTGCTTAGCTATTACCTTCACAAAGGGCACACAATCACCGGGAACTACAACGTAACCCTTAATGACCGCCTGAGGGATTCTATCAAAGCCAAATGTCGAGCTTTGCTGCGGAAGATTCTGCTGTTCAAACAAGACAATGCACCCCCTCCCTCCCCTCCCCCAAATTCTTTCTGCTGTGGCGATGGCTGCCACATACTCCTGCGGCTTTACTGTCGTCAACCATCTACCATACTCGCCAGCTCTAGCCTCATCAGACACCCATCTCTTCCACTACTTGAACAGAAAAATAAATTTAGTGGTGTTCGCTTTTTTTTTGGCGATCAGGACATCATTGATGCTGTGACCCACTTTTTGGAGTAGCGAACTTCCATTTTTTTAATGAGGGATCCATGCACCGAAGCATCGATTTGCGGAGTGTGTAGGGATTAAAAGGGTACTATGCCGAATAGTAACATATGCTCAGAAATCTCTGTCACCTTCTTCTGGATGAGGCCGATAACTTTTGGGACGCCCCTCGTATAGTCGGTGACAGGTTAGGAGCAAAGTGGAAGCTCTACCCACCTGTTACCACTTTAGCTGGGCGAACGCTGGAGAGGAGGTCGCATCCTCTACAGAGTTGTTCCGCTAAAGGGGAAAGAGGTGGGAGGAGCTTCCACTTTGCTCTTAAGCTGTCACCGATTGTAGAAAGATCGTATAATTTAATATATTGATCAATATAACTCATTGGGAAGAAGCTCTGTGAACGGATTAAGAACTTTTAATAGAATAATTTTTGACATTTTCGAAGAACAAATCGTTCAATCGGTCTGATGGAAAGGGTGTGGAAGTGCTATTGTATTGCATGATTATACAGAACAGAGTATTAGCGTTGTACTTCAAAAAAGAAATAACGTCAAAACATTATTTTGTTGCGCTTTTCGCATATATATTTGCTTTAATCGAAACTATTTACACTCAGCTTGTAATGGAAAGTTTAGTGCCAATTGCTTTGCTCATTCATATAGGAGCTGGTTTCGACTAAATGAGCATCGTAGTAACGCTCCGCCGCGAAAACACATTTACATTCCGAATCACTGTAATCGCCTGTACGATGTTCAGCGTAAAGGCTGTTTGTTGCCTTTATATAAATTGGAAACTTGGTCTTGTGGCGCTTTTCACAATGTCTACCACAAAAATTATTCGGGGATTTTTTCAGAGCGCAGCTCTTAGGCGCCCGTTTCCGGCTTGAGCGGCGTCGCCGTCGGCGTAACCAAGGTCAACCCAAGGTCACGTGACCCCCAAGGTCACGTGACCCCACCAGGTCATGTGACCCCTCCCAAGGTCACCCCAAGGTGACGTGACCCCCCGAGGTCACGTGACCCCCCGAAGTCACGTTACTCCCCTGAGGTCACGTGACCCCCCCCCCCGATGACGTCCTCGTCACTGATGACGTCACCGGCATCTGCATCGTCATCGTCATCATCACTGATAACGTCATCAGTGACGTCACTGACGACGTCACCGGCATCCGCATCGTCATCGTCATCATCACTGATGACGACATCAGTGACGTCACTGAGATCCGCTTCGTCATCGTCATCATCACTGATGATGTCATCAGTGACGTCACTGATGTCGTCACCGGCATCCGCATCGTCATCGTCATCATTACAGATGACGTCACAGATGACGTCACCGACATCCGCATCGTCATCGTCATCATCACTGGTGACGTCATCAGTGACGCCGCTAATGACGTTATCGGTTTTCATTGTCACTAATGGCGTCATCAGTGACGTCACTCATGACATCATCGGCATTGTCATCGTCACGTGACCCCCCGGGTCACGTGACCCCCCCCCCCAGTACCCTTTCCTCCTCCTCCTCAAGAGCTGCGCTCTAATTCGGCGTTACAGGGAGTTGTAAACGGCTTTCACTTTTTTTACTTCATTAGGGAGTTTTAGAATAGCGCACGCTAAAGCTTTGCGCACGCAAAGAATAGCGTCGTCGCCACTGCGCATGCTCCGAACGCAAACCAAGTTTCGCGCTTTGCGTGCGCAATTTTAGCGCGCGCTATTTCTCGTAAAGAGCGTGCGTACGCAAAGAGCCTTTGCGCTTCTCCAAGGAGGATCCATGATGAGACGTTGGCTATAGCCAATACGAGCAAAGTTAAACAAAAATGGCGGCTTCCAGGATTATGTCGGCGGCTGCTTTGGCGACGTCGTGAGTGCGACGTCGGCGGCATCCTCGCGACTGCGATTTTCAATACGAGACAAAATTGTACTCGGTTTGGCAACGATCACCGGCAACTTGATGCTTGCGACGCGCGAACACTTCTCGCGGAAGGTCAGTACACGAGACCTCTCTTGCCGAGGCGACGCAAGCGGGCACGACCGGTCAACCGCTCGAGTCGCATTCTCGTGTTTAAACAAATCTAAAATGGTACTCTGGACCAAAAGACTTGTTTCTTTCTAAAGTTACAGCATTTCGTGTGTGAAATAAAAATTGTGACTATCTTGGTGGCGTCGCAAGCGCGAGATGCTTGGGCTTTTGCGTCGCGACGGAGAAACGCTATTCTAAAACTCTCTTGCGTCGCGGGCGCTAATACAAGCGCTAAATTTAGCGCTAGCGTGCGCCAAAATTGCGTACGTTGTTCTAAAACTCTCTATTAAATAAACGAGGTAATACTTTGGCAGGCGCTGTTTTGCGTCCGTTATGCTACGTGTTAACGTAATTGTTAAGAATTGTATCTTACTCCTGTGGGTATTCAGATATCCCATTTTGTTGTAAGAGTCGTATCTTCAGTGTTTAAGCAACGTACAATCTCCAGCCCCAAAATTTAATAACTAAAATATTGCAGCAATGAGCGTACACTATCAGTTGCGTGTATTTTTTGTTTTCAGATATTTTGGAAAATACAGCGTACAAAACTGAGAAACAGAATGCCACAGATAAAGTTGTGGTTGCGTATCATAACTGTGTGAATACCTGTAAGTTGGTAGACTTTACTGAAAATTGTGCTTTCTAAATAAGTTGATTTTTCGTTCTGTTAGTTCCAAATGTGTATGGTGCAATGAGATGTGACAACGCTTTAGAAGCTTCTTGCAACAAAACCTATTAATTGTGCTCACGCTTTGATATAGCATTTTTATACTCTCTATGATATTTTGGTAAGATCATCAAGTATAGTTTTTTGGCCAATATTTGCTTTCGTCTGCAAATTTAGGGCCTGAAAAAGCCCGAAGACGCAAAGGTAGAGCCAGAATTGCCATTTTTTGCAAATAGTCAGGATGTCTTGTCCCTTATTAACTGAACACGTCCTGAAGTTAGGCCTCACTGCTGGTTGTTTAGTTGTAACCTGGCATCTTCGCTCCTAAATTGTCAAGCAAGTACCAGAGTTAGACTTCTCTTCTGGTTGTTCTAATTTCATGTTGCAATTTTGAGCCAAAACTGCCAAACAAGTGCCATATTTAGTATTCACTGCTTTTTTTTTGTTCATAGCGGTATACTTGTAGAACATGATGGTAAACTTGAGACTACCTCAGTCTTAGGTTCGCCATCATGTTAAACTTACACCAGCTCACCTGCTCTGATGATTTTTTTGTTAAATAAAATACTGTACCAGTAGCGCCAGAGCAATACCGTACTAGGCTCATGCTAGGCCCCTAGGATTGCCAAGCATGTGCACAGTTAGGCCTTTCTCTTGCGTGCTGCCTGTATTTGCACCGGAGCAATACCATCTTCCAAGCAGAAATTTCATCATCAATAATAGATACTTTTTATAGCCTTGCATCACCCCATTAACAAGTAGCAAAACAGCAAACATCATTAGAATTATTTTTGCCTTCTCATACTTACAATGGCTGCATTGTGTCAGTGTCGTGTTATAAAATTTTTAGCAACGCAATATTTACAACTGGGGTTAGCAGCATTTTAGCCAGAATCAGATTACCTGAAACGTGAGAAAAAACACATGTAAAATCCTTTCAATACTGCACTATTCACTATAATAAACTCATTGTAATTTATTTGGCACTCTAAGATGTCTCGTGTTACAAAACCATCTCAATTAGTTTTGTTTTGACAAGAACTATTATTTTAAACTTATGATTTGAGGCGATTTGATGATAAGTGACATCGAAAAGCCTAAGAAAAGCGTACAAGTCCATATCCTTTGTGAAGCAATAGATATAATCAAATAATGTTTCTTTTATGCAGCAATTCACGAGGCCATTCAGTTTCGTGCTTTGGAAACTATTCTGGAGAGCGTTGGTGGTCAGTATTGGCCAATTTGGCCACGCCTTCGAGATGAAAGCGTCGTACCTTGCTGGCAGGACCTCTACACCAAAATTCACAATGAGATAAGCTTCAATTTGCTGTTGATTGTAGGTGTCTTTGAAGATCCAACGAACGTCACGAACAATGTATTGTCCGTAAGTTTGTGCAGTGCAGTTTCTGAGTACTCAAACTCGAGGAATACTATTCTGCAGTACATAACAATTCCTTATATACTGGTGCGTTTTATCGCAGAGCTCTGGCGGATGAACAAGCAGCTTTGATACCACGATCTAGCACATCATCGGACGCCGCATAGTTTTTTGCTTTGTTTTTATACTCAACATGCATGCTAAGATATAAAGTTTTCTCACTCCTTAAAGTCACTCTATTTACCTCACTTGAATCTTGATATGAGCTACTTCGTTTCACCTGAAGTCCTGGCGCGGCCGGTGCTATGAAGTGATGGAGCCAAGCAGACTGCGTCAAAAGCGCCCGATCATTGTGCTCGTCATGTTTATCCACGTCTTCTATAATCGGTGATATACAATCTATAATCGGAGATGGCCCAGTGTCTTCCGTTTTAGACGTTGCTTGATTGGTCCCTGTACCTCGTTGCGTCGGCTGCGTCTGGACTTAAGCTGAAATGAAGTATAGGAGGAGCAGATAGCAAAAATGAAAGACGTTTACAACTCCCTACAATGCGGAATTAGAGCGCAGCTCTTGAGGAGGAGGGGATTATACGGAGAGGAAGGTATGCTCCTCCTCCTCCGTACCCTCTCCTCCTCCCCTCCACCCCCTCCCCTCCTTCTCTCCTTTTTCTCCCTTCTCCTATCCTCCTCCTCCTCTCAATTTCCTCCCCTCCTCCTTCCCCCGTCCCTCCTCCTTCGTGATGTCACTCGTGACCGTCGTGACATCACTCGTGAAGGTATCGTGAAAGTCGTGACCTTCACGTGACCTACACTGTGAAGGTCGTGACCTTCGTCGTGAGTTTAGAAGTAACCTTCGTGACGTCACTTGTGACGTCACTCGCGACTTCAGTAAACCTCGTGACGTCATATGTGACGTCACGTGTGACGCCATAATGGGAAACGTCGCATAATGCAACGCACGGTTCTGAGTGACGTCGCTCGTGACCCTAGTGACCCTCATAACTTCACTCGGGACCCTCGTAACGTTACAGGTGATGTCACGTGTGACGTCATTATGAAGAACTTCCCATAATTCAACGCGCGGTTACGCTGACTGCGACGCTGACGCCGCTCAAGCCGGAAACGGCCGCCTAAGAGCTACGCTCTAAAAAGTGTTGACTGACTTCCTTACATAAATGTTTTGGGTTAATTGAATTTAAGGGTCAGCATCTTTCAATGCTATGACTGAGTGTGAGGAGCTATCTTAATTTTTAGCCATTAATTGTTCTCCGGCTAGAAAATAACTCGAAGGGCTGATGAAGCCATTAAAAACAAACTGAGAGGAGGTTGGTTTCCCATATGCCCCGTTTCTCCCTAGGCTGACAGTGCGGTGGAAGCTACGTGCTCGTGGGACCAGTCGTTCGCCGATCTTTCGCCATGTGATCTCGCTCCCGCCCATTGCCACGCGCAGAAAGAGCGAGAGGGAGAGGTCAGGTGATAAAAAGGAAGCTGCTCACTGGTCCGGCGAGCGCGTAGCTCTCACCGCGCTCTCAGCTTAGGGGCTAACGAAGTATCTCGAAACACATTCACAGTTATCCTACCCGCGGAGCTGAATGTTGGGAAGTGGTCACACAGAGAACAAACTACGGCACACAAACGCTGAAATACGCTGTTCCTGAATTACTTAATCTGTATTTATTGGAATAAGTTGTCGCTGAGTGGAAGTAAGGTCACCCTTTTTGCGTTGATGCGAAGTGCAGTTACTCTCTTTACTAGTGTTCGTGTTTAGTTTTATTACTGTGGGCTTATTTGTTTGCCTGCCATGCCCAATATGTCAACAACGTAATAATCTAACGTCTTGTGCTTATAATGTTGTGACAGCGATGAGTGTTTGTCATTTGTGTTTCTATTTTGATTACTCTACTATTTCCTCACTCTGTTGCTGCTGCTGTAGTCGGTCAGGAGCCCGTCAAGCTGTATCACACAGCTTTTGTTCCTGACCGCGTCCAGCACACTTATGGTGAAAAGAAACATTATTATTATTATTATTAAAGCTCTGTGCCCCCCGAGTTTGATTGTCACACTTGAATTAAAACCAGGTAAAAGTAAATCGCGATTATTTTAGGTGTTCGAGCAGAAATTGCCGCCACACATGCGGGGTTTTCAACGGCCGCCTATTATCTGTGAAAACGTTATTAAAAGCACCGTGACTTTCTTGTCGGCATTTTTCGAGCAACTTACAGTCGAGGAAGAGTTATGTGATGCTGCCGATGACGTCCCTTTCGCAAGTTTTCTATTATCTTGCTTTCCTGTCTTGGGCTGAGAGCGCAGCAGCAACAAAATTTTAATTGGCGATCACATTTCTCACCCTAAAATAAAAATAAAAATAGATTACACAATACATTCTAGGTTGCTATACATCGTAAAAAGTTTCAAGCATTTTAGAAAAAAAAAAACATAACTGCAGTTTTCATGCAACGTTGAGGTGTCACGTAATTTAAAGCCTTTTTGTCTTCAGGGGTGTTCGTAGTTTCGGTAATTTTGTTTTTATTTGATGCGAAAATGTCTTCTAGAGCTTTTGTTATCACATTTATATCTCTATTTAGCACGCTTTCGGAGAGTAGTATTGAGCTAACCAGTCGGCAACATCCGGCGCACTGTTTTTCGGGGTTGCAAGATTCCTCCTATGAACACCAACGATGCAAACCCGCGCGACCAGAGCAGTCCCTATGTCCTGACGCCAATATACTTCGCATTGCCAGCATGTAGTTGTTCGTTACAGGTCGTAATTTATAGGTCACATGGTAGCATGTGTTGTGTATCTATCACTGGTGGCTTTGTAAAGGCTTGAGTCTGATATTTTCTCAAATTTTCCTGGAAGCGTTCACAAGATCCGTTTAATTCTTTGATCTTGGTATTTTGTTGCTGGTAACGGACGTTTTCAGCAACCTTAACTTTTTTTTTATAATTTAACTTACGTTGAAACTTCGCGTAGCGAAAATGCTTGAATCAAAAATAGATTTCTAATGATATGACACAATTTCGAGCATGTCTTTGGATAATATTTTGTTTTTGTTTATTTTGAAATACTCCCACCTTTTACAAGGTTATAGCAGGGTTGAGACACAAAAGAACATCGGCCTCAATACGAAAGTGAGGTTGATAGGGCCTCCGCACATACAACATATACAACGGTATAAAAGCACCATTTCAATATGATCGGTACACTTAAGAGTAAATGCAGAAAGGACAACATAAACATCGAACATATTTAACAATATGCTCTAAATCTCACGTATGAGGTTTCCTTGCTCGAACTCTCTGACACTTCCTGGGAATCTATTCAAATTTCAATACAGTTGGGAAAAATATTATCTTGAACAGTCCAGTTAAAAAGAAGTAAGGGGCAATGTTGAGGCGATGGCATTTTCTAAACTCTCAGAAAAAAGGGTGTATTCTTACATTCTTTGTCCTACGTAAGACGCCCCAAAACTTCAGTTCGACTTACAGCGCACAGACGTCTAACCGACGGTACAAACTTGCACGAGAGTCTTGATAGATGCGGAGTACAACTTATTAAAAACACTAATGTACCTGTTCCTGGCCGAAAAAAAAAAGTTTTTTCGAGCTTTACACAAAAACCTCTGTTTTTTCTTTCCGTTATTTTTGAAACGTACTTTAGCAGTTTAATAAGTTATATCGTACCGTTATCAAGCCCCTCGTAAAATTTGAGGCCCTCTGTTTTACTATAGTGCGCTGTATGTCGAGCTTAAAGAGGCACTCACGCATCGAAATCATATTTTTTTTTACTATCCGAAACGATTGAAAACGATGCCGGGAAATTACACTAGAAATTGGAAACTTGGGAATTCAGTATTTGTGATTTCCAAATGCAGAATTTCCAAATGCAGAATTCGAAGTTCCCGCGCGATCTGCGCCGGTGCGTTGACGTCAAATATTGCGGAGTCCTGAGAGTCGACTTTCTTTCACAACTTCGTGCTTTTGCTACCGCGACCCGAAGCGAGGAGGAAAGGAGCGGGAGAATAAGGGCTACGGCAGACCGAGAAAAACCGGTTTTATCCCGTCGGTGCCGCCTGCCAAGGCGGCATGTTTTCCGAGGGAGGGTACAATTCCAGAAGGTGGCATCACACCGGACTCGGAGTTCGGTATTTCAAAAAGATGGGCCGTAGTGCGTTCGCAATTGCGTTAAAAACATGTTTTACGATTGCCGTTAATAATGTTATATAAATGTCACGTATAAAGCTTCCAAATTTTATGATTTTTGACGTCACGAATCAAAAGGAGCGAAAAGGCGAGGAGCGGGAGAGGAAAAAGCCAAAAATAAAAAAAGGCGGGCGCGCGCGTGGTAATATTTTTTTTTTCTTTTTGCGACGAGGTTTTTTTGTTTGTTTATGACTACAACTTGCATCGTTTTAGACAATAAAAAAAGATACGACCCTTGGGGTGTCAATGCCCCTTTGAAGGGCCCTGCAATCATATTTAAGCGTCTACCTTTTTTGCCGTTTCCACATCTCTTGGGGTTCGGGCAAGCCAGCGGGCACGGAGAGAGTAACTAAATATCAGTGCGTCATATTTTAACCGGACGACGCGGAAACCTCCTCCCCTTACGGGGACGACCCACGGTGCCGAAAGCACGCGACATGTGACGTTTTTCGTCCTGGCCTTACTACTGGTCAGAGCCGCTAAAAGATTTCTTTTTAGTTGAAATACAAAATATAAGTTACGCGAGCAGTTTCAGTTAGTTATGAAAGCAGTTTTTCTTCAGTATTTTAAATGAGAAAAGAAACAAATGCAGTTTACAAAGTACGGAAACAAGGAACGACGCGTCGACATATTCGCCACCAAGCGGTGGAAAAGGTGGCGGATACTAGAAAGGGGTGGTGGGATCCCGGATGTACGCCGCGGCGCTGCGGTCGAGGATCCAACCGGTTTCGAGCGTTCCGAAGGCCTTCGGTGGCTTCGGCGAGCAGGTTCGGCGGTGTGGCAGCGCGAAGTAGCTCCCGTTCTGAACTGATCTTCACCCCGTATTTGCTGTCGTTTCTGGCCAATGAAGTGTCGTGGCGAATTAGTGTTTAATCGCGCAACAAATGCAATGAGAGCCGCCTTGGCCTGCCCGCTTCATACAGCCTATCCAGAACATGCTTTAGTGGCGCCCTCTCGAGCCATCGACACGGAGTGCGGCAGCCGTGAGCGCTCGCTGAGCTCACTACCCCTCCTCTAGTACACGACCACTCAAGCAACCAAGGACGTCATGAAGGAAGTTATTTTTTGCTGGTTTTTTGTAATTTTAATTTGCCTATAACTTCTAAAATAAAGCGAAATTTGAAAAAAAAAAGATAAAAGTTTTATTAAGTTCCTACGTTCCGTGCGTTCAGGTTCGGTGCAAATGAAAAATCACTAAAGAAGTCCTTGCAGGGCCTCTTTAAGTTTTGGGGTACATAATAGGGGACAAAAAGATGTAAGACGACACCCTTCGTTTTTTAGAGTGTACTTGAACGGGATTCCTTAAATGACAAGTAACGGGAAAATGGGATGCAAGTATCATTCCTTGCGATCTGATATAACATTTTTGAGCGGACTGCGACTCGCCTAGGCGAGAGCAGCTGAAGGCTTAGCTGTTCGTTTTCATATGACGGGGGAAAACCACGACCATACTCACAACGAATGAAACGTATTGCACGTCTCTGGACGGCTTCCAGTTTATTTAGGTCACATATCCTGTGAGGATGCCAAACGACAGAGCAGTATTGAAGAAGTAGTTGGGCTAATGCGCTGTATGCTAACAACTTTGTTTGTTTAGATGTAGGACCTAGTGTTCTCCTAAGGTACTCAGGCGCCGTAATGCCTTAGAGCAACTTATATGAAAATGTTTCGTCCAGCTTAAATTGGGAGTTAACGTCACGCCCAATACCTTGTACTCAAACATTAGATTAAGATTTTTATATAAAAAATAATCACATGACAATGAAGTTTATTTTTTGGTAAATTACATAAATACAGTTTTGCAAAAAATAACTTTCATTTGCGAGTCATGGCTCTAGGAGCAGAACCGCCCAAAACACCGTTGAAGCAAAATCGGGTCACTGACTGAGACAATTTCCCTATATAAGTTACAATCATCCGCGTAAATGCGGATTTTATCAGGTATATTTTAACTACAGAAATAATGTGTAACAAAAAATAATGGTCCCAGAACCGAGCCCTGGGGTCACTTGAGACAAATACTTATGAAGTTATTTATTACATTTAAGGTAAAATTATTTTTTCATTTCGTGCCTTGTCATTTGCCGCGGACAAGAGGGCTATTTTGAACGAAGGGTTATAGGGAGCTTTATCTAGAGTATGGTTTTCTATTTATTTTCAGCGAATATATAGAGCAGTAAAATAAAACATTTGTTCAGGTATACAATTAAAACGACATGTCATCTGCTTTCTTGCTTTTTTTTTTAAATTTACTAAGTTTGTTAAAGTGATGCTAATTTTATTTTTGCAGACATTGGCTCAGACACGTGATGCTCCATTTATTTTTGCTGGCCATCTTTATGACGTCAGAAATGGGCTGATAGCGTATATGACGTAGTCTTAGCTCCATTTACGTCGCTTTGTCCACGTTCAGAAAAAAGTTGTCCGGATTGTTTATGATATATACTTTAAGCGGCGCTTTTATTATAGGTATTAATATATAAGGAAAATGTTTTCACTTTCACTACTTTATAAAAGGAGGACTGTTCGAGATTTAATTTTTCTGCACTAGGTTGCAAATGGCGTAGTTGATTCGGCGCAATTTCTTGCGAAAGTGAACTTCCATATTCCAATCCGAGTAACCAGACACTTTGTTTTTATGATCGCTCGCCATGTAATACCTCACCTCTCTTACGGATTATGCCATTATATAATATCTTCGCTTCACCCCACCTTGACCTATCTGCAACCATCTCTATGTACCGTCACGATCTGAATGATATTATCTTAGCCCCTTAGCATTGTGTTTGTGTTAGATGTTTTATCTTTTTAGTAAGCGTGTTTAGAGCCTATGAATTTGCTTGCTGATTTTGTTTGTTTGTTTCGGTGCACCAACGAGAAGACCAATGTGGTTGTTTTTTGGGCACCCAGAAATAAAGATTATTATTATTATTGTTATTATTATACCGTTTGGTGACATTTGACTCCCTGGCTGAAGTCAGAAAAAAACAACATTTATTTCCTACGTTTTCTAGACGTGTATTTCAAAACTTCATCGATGTTATTTCAGCGTCTTCATCCGGTATGTGTGTTGCTCTACTAAGGACCGCCGATATACCAGCTCGCATAAACCAGCTTTTTAGGCCCGATATTTAGATGTTTTATCAATACATAAAAAGAATAAATGAAAAGCAATATTTGATTTAATCAAATATTTTATTATCTTTTTTAATATCAGGTTTAAAAATCATGTATTCGACGCGATAGCAAACCTAAAAAACGAAAATACTAAGGTCTTACAAAACGTAAATTAAATAACTTATGGGTAATCGAATGAGTACCCTCTATGAATTTAAAAGGAGTAAAGTATTGTTTAGTTTGACGGATCAAATCGAAAAAAATTAAAATAACCTTTCACTGCTTTTTAATTCATCGTATTATATTTTCTTGCTGTTCTCCCTGCTCACAGATAGGCAGGCCGGAGTTTGGAAGCGCTGCACAAGACATTATGGGAGTGTCCGAGAAAACTAAACTCACTCCTGAACAAAGAGCTTACTTGGAGCTCATGGGCTCAAGCATCAAAACTTTCTCCCCGAGAAGAACAAACGAGGATATTTTAATTATTATGCAAGACATTATATGGTTCGAGGGTAACATTACAAAGGTGAAATGAAATATTCAACTTAGTTTAGAGTTTTAGTTTATATCCATTAATAAAGAGTAGCAACTTTAGTGGTGACGTCGTTGCCTCTTGAAACCACCTAAACCTGACTTGATAAAGATGGCGAAAAATCTATTAAATTGCGTTTGTGTACAACCGTAGAACTGAACAATCGAAAAAAGGTACGAAAACAAACAAGTCGCTTCTATATCCTTTACGCGCATGAGTCTTAACAAGACAAAAGTCAGTAGTTTTTACTCACAAAAGAGCTTTAAAGTGTTAAGTTAAAATTTAAAGCTGAACATGACACTATAGTCGGTTACAAGTCAAGAAGGTAGGAGAAGCTCCTCCCACAAGCGTGATGCGCCCGTTTCAAATACCTCCGCCAGTCGAAAGAAGAGTTCACTGGAAACGCTCCTTGTTCCGCTTCAATGGATAGATAATGGCCACAGAGTGGTGCCAACTTTTCTTCGACCCCCACCTCTTAAGAAAGCGACCTTTGTATTCATTGAAGGGGGAACCGATCCCCTGAAAGCAGCCTTCGTATCCATCGGAGGGGGAAGCTAATCTCCGAAAGTCGTATTTGTTTCCATCGGAGGGGAAAACTCTAATCTCTCTCTCGTGGCTTCCGGAATGCTAAGTCAAAGCCGAAAGACAAAGAAAATATGTACAGAAAGGCAAGACTCTCCTCGCGCGTTGGCAGCGACGTTTCGGAAACGATGGGCCGCTAATTGATGCGGAGGTGGCGGAGGGATATATGATTCCCCTTGAGGGGCATTTGCCGCTACCTTCTTAACCTGTAACCTGCTATGGTCTGTGCAATCTTGTTGAAATCCAGAGATAACCATCTTCTATAATCCTTGGTACTTCATCGGACTGTTACCTACTCCGCAACTAGAAACAGCCCCCTGTTTCTACTTGCGGAGTCCAATTTCAATAGCTAAGAACAATTAAAATCCATAAAATATTGTTTACACACAGGTACCGAAGTAAAATTTGTAATATTTTATACTTACACGTTTATTCCCGCGCAGATTCATCGGGAGGCAGAAAAAAAGTATGGAACTGGAATTCATTTCGTCAAAACGACGCTAAAGCAACTTTGCAATGTGTCTGAAGAGGTTAGTCTAAACATCCTCTTGAATGTGACGGTGCCAATCGTCTCATATATAATGTGCATAATATAATTGCTTTATTATGACCTGCAGAAATGATGTTTTTTGGCGATGAACACTGTGGAGTTACGACGTGGCTATATATTTGATGCTGATTAAGCTTAATAATCCAGTGACAAAATACTGAGTTCCAGACGATTTCGAAGTCATGAGAGAAGCTAAATTTGGTCAGTTCAGATTCGCCGTTTACATACCTGGCGACTTCTTGAAGTGCACACTCAAGTTAGGACGGACACTGGGAGTGATAGCTCTACCCTCCAATATTCGCACGTATCGTGTTCTCCCAGAACACATGGAATAGGAATTACGGCAACATCCATTTTTTTTAGAACTACATGACCGCGAAAACGTCTTTGGTTTGGAAACGGGACCTGCAAAAGGGCATAATGGCGTGAACCGCCAGGACTAGTGTCCCATTGCAGATGAAATCTTAGACTAAGGCTCTCTATTCAAACTTTATTTTATGCTAATCAAACGCTGTAATTTGAGATACATTAAAAACTCGACGAATAACCTTTGTCTAGAAGAAAAAAACAAAACATCATCATCAACTAAATGCAACGGCATAGAAACAGATTTATTAAAATTTTGACGACAGGTATTTGTTTTTTGCCGCGTAAAGCAACGTGCGAATGTCGAGAGAGAACGCTGGTGATTCATCTATTATGATACGTAGAGGCGATGAATTTACGAGGGTGAATAAACATTTATTCGCCTTCTCTCCGCAGAATTAATTTTAATCAAAGCCTTTCCAACCTGAAGCCTATCATGGAACGTTGCATAGGCAAAGTTTGACCGATTTGCAAACGATTTCACGCGTCACTCAACTTCACTGAGTCTATCCGATAAAATCACTGCACGTCCACGCTCAACGTTGTCATCAGTCATGGATGTGGATGGGCATGTGGCTTCTTTATGGTTCACAGTTGTGCGTCCTTTGAAATTCTGTATTTATTCTAACACAAAGTTTTCTTTTTGTGACAAAACACTTGTGTTAGAGCTTTTTTGTGACAAAACACTTGTGCTCTGCACAAGTGGGGTAGCCATTGTCTGTTGCAACGCAGTCAGAAGAGGTCTAACATGCTCAAACCTGCGCAGCAGTGACTGAAAATAAAAGCGACATTTTAAGAAAAGTCCCAATAAGACAGTGCATCTAACATAAGCCTTAAAGCAACCGAAGTGCGGGTATTCTTGGAATCACCTTGGTAACAACGCCAAAGTTAGATTGATAGTGTCTGATACTTTAACTGTCATGAGTTCAAACAAGAGCGTTTATTAACAACAGAACCAGCAGCAGTGAAGTGTATTAGCATTACCAATATTTATGCTGGTATAACTTCATGTAGTGCGCATTGATGGCGGCTGTCTATATTAGCCTCAAGTACATAATCATAAAATAACCTTGTCACCGCATTTGTGTAGGAGGGATGGGGGGGGGGGGGAGGGGGGAGCAGAAGAGGGGGTCGAGTTGCGAACACGATTTCAAGATTTCTTGGACGCCGTGAGCACTTAATGACTGCGCCCGATAGAGTATCTAGCTATCCCAACTATAATACGGTAAGTCAAAATATAGCTTTTGTATGTGTGAAAATATATCCTCGTCATCTAGCAAGATCAATGATGTCTTTAAACACTTATCAGACGCTTATTACATCACAATCAACGTCTCGTAATTTAAATGCTTTAATATGATTGCTGTTTGCTGTCAAGCTAAAATAAAAAAAAAAAGATAAAAAAAAATGCGGAGAGTATATATGCACTTGCTCCAACCTGTCTCTTCAGACTTATCGTTTTGCTTGCTGTGTTTTTATTAAAAATCGCGGAAGTCTTATTTTTCGTACAAACCAGAAGAGCATTGACCTTCACACGTTAGTTAGCTAAATTGAGCGTTAAAGCTATCTTGATTCCTGAAGCTAACGTGTTATATCATTGATGTAGCTCGATTGGAAGCTTTTCCTCGAGAAGATATTTGACGCAGTCGGTATCGAGCTTCACCCTGAAGAGCCAGTAGTCCTCGGCGACGAATTCTACATTAAAGAAATAATTCGATTTTTGAGTAAATCACGCAGGTAATTATTATATTTTTTTGTTAATTAGTGCTGTATAATTTACATTTAGCAGAATGAAGGATTGCAAATAAAATAGCCAAAGAAATGTAAATGACTGGGAGCGCTTTGAAACACCTTTGTTTCTTTAACTGATTGCGCTTCCCCAGAACATGAATATTAGTTGAGCCAGTACATCTCCTTTGCATGTTGCACATTCTTTGTATGAACCGGAACGTCTTTGTTACAAGCTGAATAGAGCAAGACGTTTGCCTTCGAAAAAACGTAGGTTCAGTATTTAAATCAAGCACATCTTATGAAACAAATATAAATAAAGTAAAAAGTCTTTTTTTTTTGTTTTTGTTTGGAGAAGTTAGCAGATTAAAAAAAAACCGTGGCAATAATTATTTTCTTGAGACGGTAAGATTTTAATAAAAATCAAGCCGTTTTAATTCTTTTTTAGGTAGTGTCCTGATACACACGCGTACTCGCCACTGCAAACGTGTTGCACACATTTTTTGTTGTTGTTGCTTATTACACATTAGCAATAGGTAGGAATTTGCTCAGTGCTTTGCATAACGGAGCTTCGCGTGTCAAAATAAATAAAATTAGACGTTTATTTTTAGACACCGCAAGGTCGGTCTGCCTTTGAAATATGGCGACAGTGGTTGACGGTGCAGCTGAGAAATTTAGCCCGTGTTGTACCAGGCTACTCTAGTGTCTTTATTTCTTCGATGTACGGTTGAATTTCATAAAAACATTTCAACTTAAAGCTTTGTGCATGGCGGTAAGAAATCCCAAACATTGGCTTTAAACATTTTCCAGTCAATTGGCTAACTTTTTGATGTTTAAATATAATGGTACAATTGCGAAACCAATGTTTACGCGGGATGAAAATGGTTTCAAAATGTCAAAAGTTTAGAGTGAACAATTTACTTTTTGTTCTAAAATAACTAAGAAATTTTATATAGTAACGTGGTGTAACAGCTGGCGTAGTCAAATTTTCAATCATAGTGAATTAGTCAAGATCTTAGTCAAAATTTGGCTACGATCAAGTGTAGTCGAATTTTCGTCGGAATTCTTTGAGCGCTTCGTTTTTGAGAGTTCCGCAACACCTGCCTCTGTATATATTTGTCATCACTGCTTGATTGCCCAGACCCTCATCTCAGGGTATGGTTGTAATTATTATGTCAGAGATTTTATGTGTCAAAAGCAGACTGTTGGTTTCATTTTAATCTCATAGACACAACTATTAAAGCTTTGACAGTCATAACGTTTTGGTACAGTAGGTTCACGTTATGTGCAAAAAATACAGGAGAGTGATCCGATTCGACGTGCTTATACTCACATTTTTAAATAATTTTGGATTATGAGCTTACAGACGCGGTACAATGGTTTAAGAAAGCAGTGCCACCATTGTTTGTCAATCGACAGCTTATGAATGAATATCGGTATTAATAAAGTTGTTTTACTTCTTCTTGGGAACTCATAGGCAAATGTGCACACACGTTGTTTTGGATTAAGGCCCCCTGTTTAATAACTGCGGAGTACTGATCATATTAGGTTGAAAGCGCATGTTCAACGGCATACTTCCAGCGAACTAGAGTGGTCTTTAGAAAAAACAACAACAACAAAAAAACACTTTACTATTTTGATTTTAGTGCGCTGTAAGGCCGCGGTGGTTTCAGATTGATACCTCTATCCGCTGCACTCTTAGACCACGTTTTTTTCTTTGGTGGCATCATTCTGAAACCACCATACCCTAAAGGGTTAACGTGAATCACGGAGTAGTGATACAGGGGCGCTTGCCAGTATGGTGCTCATCCCATCTATATCAAAACGGGAAGGGGCGGGGATTGAACCAGGATTCTTGTGTTCTGCAGCGCGAGCTTTGGCTTTAGGTTCTCCGGGCTGCGGCGCCATGAAACACTGAACCACTGAACCCCCCGCTTCGCGTGACATTCTGCTTCAGATCCACGGTGTATAACTACTTTATGTGGCGAGTGATACAGCGCTTCGCTCCCCTCGCCCTTCAAAAGTTCCGGGAGATGACCTTCGTTATGACCAGCCTCTCCACTGGTGCCAAGATGGACCATCCCCAGTGGATGCACTGCCTAAGCTACATCGCCGGATATTATGGCATTATGGACTATGCCGCCGGAAGGCTCTACGTGCAAAAAAAGTTCAGCGCAACCGCAAAGAAGGATGTAAGGTTTTGTCTTTTAAACATCATTCTACGCGCAATTAATTGAGTAACCTTGTGAACATAACTTGTCGCACAAATGATGAAAAAATATCCGTTTCTAAAATAGTAACAAACCCAGTAAGGATTGCAATCTATTGAGTATGATTATTCAATAGAAGAGCTATACGATTCGATTTCTCCTGAATAAGAAACGTGTTGTAAAATATTCCCGCAGATATCGTAATCTTTTGACTTGACGCTCCAAAATTAAAGTGTAGAAAAGTGCAGAAACAACCGGAAGCGAAAAGTAGGTTTAATAGTTAAGGCACTTTACTTCTTGCAAAATTAGAATAATGAGCGTGTTTGGAAGTGTAAATAAACAAAAAGAAAATTATTACACCTTCGTAGTAAGCATAAAATTAAATCGTTGGAGCGTAATAATCCACTTTCACGGTCTAGTGTCTATTCTATTTTTGTTCTCAGTAATAGTTTCTGAGAATAATATCCGAGCAGATTCTGCTTTTGTCTCGATAAATAAAGAAATGCAAACTGGATGAGCATAGTGTCCTCATTGTCCGAGGGCCAAAAATATGTGCCTTTAATTTACTATTACACACCGGTGATAACCTAAATTTATATTGCAACACCACATCTGTTTTGTCGGTGCCGCATTCTCCTCTTGTAAGGTCGTTTCCCAACGGCGGGTTTCTGCGTATGATTTAGGCAAAGAAGAAATATACTTTGACTGCCGCATTCGTGTGTTATGCTGATAGATTCTTGTTTGCTCAACCAGCAGCCGTACAAACGGAATTAAATATTTCAGCACTACAGGGCAATGCCGCCTTTTCACACGCATATCGTAGACATTCACGTTCCACGCACACTCTGAAAGCTCTGCATATTATCCTCTCGCAATGTGGACGTGCAGAATGTGAATGTAATCTAGAGACGAAATTGGCCATCTGACATTAAGTTTGAGAAATAAAATAATAATTTCGACGTGGCACTGGGACGACGTGTCTCATAGAAACCTGATACCCATGTTACAATTTAAATTTGCAAGCCGAAATAATCTTTCAGCTTTGCCATTCGGTACGCTTTTTGTGCAGACCATCGAGTTTTGATTTTTGTGTTATCTTTAAAGGAGTAGGGACACTCGCATTCTTTGGCCTGTGCTGGTGTCACTCTCGATACTAACGTGAAGATATCAAATTTCCTAGCAAGTATTTTTTTTTCGTAGTTATTCTTTGATTTCACTGATTGACTCTTAGCGTGTTATGCGCAGAAGTAAATCTCCGGCGAGCACTTAGTGTGTTTTCCTGAATGATAACGACATTCTTAATTGATTGAGAAAAGCGGGTCACAGCTAATTCCTCACAAAGTCACATTCTGCGCAACATATGATGTGCTCCAACCATGGATTGTCCCAGTTTCTATCGCAGATTGTGTATTTTTTTATTATAATGAAATCATTGAACAGTGAGTAATATTAATTATAATTCAAACATTTTAGTTATTTGTTCTCGGTTTTTAACTTTCAATATTAAAATCTACATCAATATAATTACTTGCCACACGAAGTTGTCTTTTATACAGTTCAAGAAACCCTGTACCAGCAAGAACCTGCTCATCTGTGTTTCGTGTTTTCTAAAGAAAACTTCTAGTTTAACCGAGTGTTTTTATCCTGGTTACCTAAATAGGTGGTAAAGTATTATGTACAACAATACGCTTTATGATAATCTGCGAAAATAGCAATGTCATGATTGCGGAAACCGTGTCGCGCATGACCACTAAAGCTAACTACCTTTGTAATATTTTTTAGAGTGCACTAATTCTAAACTATTATTTAATACGAAAAGTATAGTACTAAAGTATTAGCTGTTTGTTAAACTAATTCAACTAGGTAAATATTCGCTATTCAGATATCACACCAATAACCTGCCGTCTATTTTGAATCTTAGATAAATGGCTTGGTTCTAGAGCTTAGTGAATCTTTCAAGAAACGCCTTTTGGAGTTAAGATGGATGGATAAGGAAACAAAATCGCAGGCTTTGGCAAAGGTAAGTGCCATTTTTTAGGGCTCAATAATTATATAATGTCCTCCTGCTTCTACTTTTATTTGCTTGGCTGTATGAATCGAATCAATTACACGTGTGCTGTTTCTCGGGGGTTGAAAATTTGATTATATATTTTGTCAATAATAAGCCTCTCAAACCAGTTTACAGCGTGATATCAATTTCAACATGCCATCGTAACCTTGATGCAAGATAATATGAAACATCTTACAGTTGCTGTAGAATCGTCAAGTGCGTGGTGTCTATTAAAACAATTTGCACTTCATTTTTAAATTTAAGTCCAAAAGTTTGCATCGTCGAACGCTCTGTATACGGACGAATGTAGATATAGCGGTGCGGTTCAGATGCCAAATTCACTATGCTTACCAGCATCTAACTGAAATTTATATGCGATTTACAAACATTTTAAACAAGAAATTAAGCTTGGTTCCCGGTAGCTCACCCCCTTCACCGTCCCGTATCCGTGGTGTTCGCTGCACCCCATTATCTCATTCAAAATGAAAAAGAAAGTCGCTTATAACTTTCGGATTAAATAGCAACAAGCTCTATACCTCTGGCATCTTCTCCAAACAACTAGGGCTCATTCGGACGTAGAGTGTTCATTCGACAATGCGTACTTAACATGAGTGGTTTTAGCAAGACGATCGTCACAAACATCCGACTAAATTATTTAAAGAGACATCCCAGCGGTTGACACCCCCTAAATTGAAACAAGATACAGGATTCTGCTCATCCATAACATGGTCTGAATTCCGGCACACTCCTTCCCAGCTACGACAAGAAACCCCTCCGTGGGAACGGTGCATGGCATAGCCGGCGAACACTCCCTACAGATGATTCGCACTAAGGTGGAAGCAAGAAGGACCACCCTGGACATCACCTGTATGAGAAAAGGCACATCCATCTTGGTCTTACTTAACGGCCCAAATATGCCATAACACGTGACCCTGGGGCTGTAGTGGTACAGGGTTTATGCGGCTAAAAAACAAAAACACAAGGCTCAAACAGATCGCCATCACGACCGGCAGACCGCAATGGAGGAGCTCGCGCTATTACCAATCTCGATATCGAAACCGCCGCAAGGCATAAACATCACTTGATGGGCAGAGGTATTTTCGCGAATGCACTCCATGCCGGCCGAAGCGGAAAAAACACAGGTCACAAACCACCGAGGCGGAGTGCAGAGCTCTCCGTGTGCAACGAGCCCACCACCTACATTAAGTGCCGCGGTGCAGCTGTACCAGTGACGGAGAGGGAGATCCTTCTCGTGACGCAGGGACAACAGGATACGGGGAGACATGGACGCTCGAGGGCACCGATCATCGTAGAACTGGAGCCACAATCAGAAATTCCCGGGTTCATATCTGGTGGCACACCGCCACCAGATATGAATCCGGGAATGGACGAGCTTTTCACCATCGCGGAACTGCTGAAAGCCATTTTCTCCATGACCAGGTCGAACAGCGCTAAAGGGTTCGACATGAACAGCGTTTCGATCCTTCTAAATCTGCCTGAGCCAGAGATGCGGGAGCTCCTGGGTGTTTTTAACGAGGCCTGGGGCTCGGGCAGACTTCCCGCCACCTGGGGGCAAGTCACCATCCTGCCAATCTCCAACCTGGCCCGAGATTTGCGGCAGCTTTCCTGCATGCGAGCGATCTCCCTGACGCCACAGACCGGGAAGCTTATGAAGAGAATGGCGCTGACGCGGATGGAGTGACACGTAAAAACCAAGACGTCTAGCATTCATGCCAGACCGGCTTCCGCTGTGGCCTTAACACGCTAGAGGCTCTCGCCCTGATCGCGGAGGACCTCGCCGGCGGGCGCCCGCGCTACGATATCAAGATCGCTATCGCTGTGCCACTGAAAAAGGCTTTCGATACGGCCCTGTAGCCGACCGTGTTTGCTGCCGCCTCAAAGGCGGGTCTCACCTTCAGACGTTTTCAATACATTAAAGCGTTCCTCGGTGGGCGAACATACAGCACCTCGGTAGGGGGAGTCCAAGCTCTATCATTTCCGGTAGGGAGGGGGGTCTCACAGGGCGTGGTGCTATCACCGCTTCCCTTCACTCTGGTGTTGGCGGACCGAAACCCCCGCCTCGACAACCTCTCCGGCGTCCGCCCCGCCATCTACGCAGACGACACCGCCATATGGACGACAGGCGGCCAAAGCTGTCCTCAACCAGATTCCGCACAGGAGGTACTAGGCGCCATCAAGGGCTTTCTTGTTATGCGGGGCATAACTCACTCCCCAGAGAAGACCCAGTGGGCCGTGTTGGGCAAAACCATCGCACGCCGCGAGGTGACGCCCTGCATAGACCACAGGTTGGTGGGCAAAACCACCCAGGACACCAACGTACTGCAAGTCATCGGAGTCGACTCCTCACCATACGGCCCACCCGTGACGTCGTTGAGCAAAACAAAAGCCTCCGTGGACCAAGTGTTGCACCTCATCCGTCGCACCACTGCCAACTATTCAGGCCCTGACTCGAGCACCCTCCGCATGCTGGCCCTAGTTAGTTAGAGTATTGGGAGGAGGAAATCAAAGGAAGTGTTGCTGAGCCGGAAGATGCTGGCCCTTAGCCTGGCTCAAGCCAAGATTTCTTATTGGGCATAGCACATGGGCATCATGAGAGGCAACCTGGGCCTTGGAGGTCCTGAATCGGAGGGCTATGTGCGTCGTCATGGGCCTCCCGAACTTTACGCCGATCCTCCAGTTGCATGCGCATGCGGCACTGAAACCCATTGGGGGACCTGCTTGCTGCATGAGGCGCGCCTTGGGCAGCACCGCCGCCTCTCGTGCAGCAGACAGGGCGCGCCATTTTCGGGCTACTGGGCCTTCAGCCGACTGAGGGAGTCCTTCTACTCGCCACGTGGCCACGTTCCTGAAGCCTGCCGAGCCTGGCTAATGACAAACCAACACCGTCCCGATCCCCGCCGAAGACGGTTCCGAGCGGTTGCGCATGAACGCGCTGCCTACGCAGATGACCCCGAGGTCCGTAATTACTACCGCGACGCGCCAGCGGATCCCGAATACGGCATCATTGCTGCCGATGTCTGTTGCCCGTCCCCGGGGTTGTCCTCCAGTGTCGAGCTCTCACAAGGTCTCGACTTCCTTGAGTCTGAACTCCGTGCGATCCTGTTGTGAGCGGATCTGGCGCTCCGCGACCGGTGGCGATCAGTTCATCGAACGACGTTTGATCGACAAATTGTTTCATCGACACGCGATGTTTCAACCTCACCGACCCGTACACGCCGCTCAGCGGCGTGTACGGTTCGGTCAAGTGGTTTAACATTTTTGCAATGAGCCGTCGCATCGTGTCGTCGCGAAGCAGCGTGAACGCAGGCGCGAGGGAGGGGGGGGGGGGGGTTAACGCGCGCGCCAGTGATACACGCGTGACGAAGTGTCCATGCAGCGTGCAATTCGTTTAACGGGAGTCAACGAAATTATCATGTCGACGGAACGTGTGTCCATGAAACGTGTCTTCATGAAAAGTTGTCCACAAAACGTAATGCCAGGAAAAGAGTTTAGACGAAATGATAGGAACACCCCTCCGCAACACCGCCACTTTTGGGCTCCGGTGCACCCACTGAAGTACTCATCCACTCCTACTATAGCAGGAGCAATCGAGGCGTCCCATTTGTCGGCACCTCCTAGGTCCTCGACAGTAATCTTCCTCCATGCGGCTGTGGCGTGGTTCGAAGTTTCCCTGGGGACCGTCGCAAACATAAATGTCTTCGGGGTTGCATGCCACGCGGGTGTCTGGTGCAACGAGGCGGCGCACCGGCCGGCAAGGGCGTTCTTGACTCTCCCTTCGGCCGGTCATCCGCTGCTTGGCCCCTCGGTCCCCCCTCCCTCCCCGGCTCGGACCGGGACCGATACCTGGACCCTACGCCCCCTCCCCTCCCCCCCCCCCCCTCACACACACACACCCGTACCGAGGCAAGGTGGCGACAGTCCACTCGACTGTCCCACTGTGAGGGGCAGTCGAGTTACCCGCATATACCGGTGGTACGCGCAGGCCAATAAAGCCCGGCTTCGTGTAATCGACACCGGCTGTGCATTGACGCCGCATCGCCCGGCCCGGCACGGGCTAAGATCGTCCTAGCACGCAACCGCTGTTGCCTGGGCCATCCGGAATTGCCACCGGCCCAGCAGCGCCACCGCCACCACCAGCTGCCAGCCATCTGGGCCGTTCGCAACTTCACGCCAACTCCTCTCGGAGTGCTCAGCGAGGCGGCGGAAGAGGGAGGAAGAACTCGCCCAATTGGGCCAAGTGACGCCTAGCTTGGTAGAAGCCTGGGCAAGACTGGCTGGCCCCGACGACATCAGAAAGCGGCTTCGATTTTCTCTTCAAATATATGAGGATGGCCTACCTCACGTAATGCTTCGTTCTTTGACTGTTCCCCAGCCTTACAACCCGCTCCCCTACCCCTTCTCAGCAAGGCCCGTAGCCGGCTGAGTCGTATTCCACAACTGTAATCCCCTTAATTTAATAAAGACGTTTCCCGACAACAACAGTGTCTTTTTCCTCGTGGAGCTCGACCACAGCACGCTTTTCGCGTTTTGAAGATCTCTGAAAGCAAGCCTTGCTTACTCTCGTTCTTAAATTAGGGTTAATGTAAGATGTAAAAAGTCCACTAATTTGTGCCAAAACGGTGGTTATATTGTTACCAAGGAGCTTGTTTGTAGTAACACTCGTTTTCTTGTTTTCCCTATGCAACAGTTCTTATGTAATTATGTGTATCCCTGAACAACAATTAGTTGTGTAAATCAAATATATTATCACCCAATCATAAGAATGTATTTTTACAATGCTTGTCCGATTTCATTCAACAGCTTACTCATATGGTTAAACATGTGGCCTATGATGAACAGCTGATGAACGACACACATATGAATTACATATACCGTAACGTAAGTAATTAAGAAGGTTTTATTTCTTAAAATATTGCCATAAAATATATCTTCCAGGACTATGCCAACTGTACAAAATAGTAAACACAAAACACAGATGTTCCTTGGCGGTTATGACATAACATATTTAACGGGGCTGCACTCCAATGAACTAGTTTTGGAACAAAAAAAATCTAAAATAAAATATTTCGCATTAAGGATAGTTTTGGGGGCTGAAATATATACTGTATTCGTTATTTAGCTTCAGAAAGAGTACTTTTTTTTCTGAGATAAAGAGCGAAATCGGCAGTACCAAATTTTCTTGGAGGATTTTACGGATTTTAAAATAAAATCTGTACACTAGGCCGTTTTAATGAATCTCAGCATGAAGGAAAACCCTACAGAAATAGAAGTAGACTAAAATGCCTGAAGTAATTGCGAAATTTATCGCCAGACCACTGTGATTGTCAAATTTTGATCATTTAGATTTTCCACTAGAACACTAGACGTTACGCCCAACGTTACGCTGAATCTTTTTTAAATAACGAATTCGCAGTAGCTTCTAATACTGCATTAAATTCATCAGAACTATGCAGTATAATATGTGCTCAGGTGTAGTAATCCACATTATTAAAAGCATTCAAGTATTTAAAATAACCTTATTGTTTATACTTGAATCCTTTCGAGCCTTCCTGTCTTTCGAACCCTACTGATATTTCTAATATAAAATTCAGCCTCAATTTTTCAGTTTATAATTCTTCTGCGAAATATTGAGAAATTCAAAGAATGGGTAAAATATTCCTTGAAATATATGAGAAATATTTATTTCGCATCAATTCATTGGTGCCAGCATTATGTCAAAGCAGACACCTCTGATCAGCATATTTGAACACTAAATACTGATTGACTTACTATGAATAGAATTGTACTTATACAAAAATAAATAAAAATATAACTAAAAAAGAAAAATATAAATTAAATAGACGCTCACTAGTGCGTCAATACAAAGTTTCTGTCAAATGAACAAGGCAGCAAGAAACGTTTAAATCTGAGGCCATAATAATTACATCGAGCATTCCGAGACCGTCATTTAGTGGTGTTTATTTTTCTTTGTTCCCATTTTTTACGCCCTTCATGTTCTTATGTAAATTCACTCCCATTGCAGTATTAAACACATTTTTGTTTATAAAAAGCACGTGTTAATATTTGTTGTCGGCAATAGGTTAAATTTTTGCGCAATTGATAGGTTAGTGCAGCAAGGGCTACTAACAGGACATCTCGATGGTTTTAAACTTATTTTACGTCTGATTTGTGTTACATAAAATATTATACTGTCAATAATTGCTGTCAGCAACATTTGATTTTTTTTTTCGTTTTCAATGCATGAGGGGCATGCACAAGACTTTATTTGTTTTCTTTTGAAAGGTGGGGCGCGTCGATCTTGGTGAGCCTTTTATTTTGTCCTACGTGAATTTCCGTAAGCAACTTGGCCTGGAGAATTTGAGAGAGTTACGTGTGAAGAACAACCGGACAGAAGAGTAAGTGAAAAAGTTATTGCTTTATCGCTGTTTAGTAAAAGCTTAGTTTGAACAGTTTACGTTTTTATTTGACTATCGTTTTACGACAGTTTTATGAACTTGGAGGATCTGGAGTGTTTGTTTATTTAGATAACATGTCTGCGTGTTCGTCAAAAACAGATGTTTTTTTAGATCAAAAGAAAATCAGCGTTGTTTTAAGAATGCTGTGTTCGTTTTATTGTATATATTTATCACGATTTGATGACAAATTACAAACTTGAGCCTACTTGTAGAGAACCGTAACGTATACTTTTGTTGTTTTTCCGTCTCGTTTACGGCTCTGCGTAAAAGAAAATAGATTTGGTAATGTCGATGGGACAAGCGCGAGTGTTAAAAATCAAAGCGTGCACGGAAGAGTAAATTACAGTAGAGGTCTTCTCTAACAAGTTGTGGGCCTTAGGGATATTAAGAAAATATTTCAATATACTAAAGAAATATTGCACGTTTGGTCGTTCCATTAAATGTGTTTCAATGCGGTAGATTTATGGCGTGCGTGGTGCTCAGTTCGAATGGTGCCTAGGATAGGATGCCCCCTCGTCTTTCAGTACTTACTGTGCGTGGCGCTTCTAGTTGAACTGGTGGGCTGGGAAGAGTTTCATATGGAAACATATTACGTTGCACCATCATCTCTTTATTATGCTGCGCGCGCTTCCCTTCAGAACCACCTGATACAAGCCTTTGCGCCCAATTTTCTGGGCGCAAAGGCTTTGTACAGGACTTGCAATTATCACTTAGGACGATTGTGTTTTGCGTGGAGTTGAGTACTGTTTTATACGTGTACAGCACTTGCAACTATCGCGTGTTTTGTGTGTGTTCTAAGTGTCTTCATAACACCAGTTTCTTTGCGTATTGTGTGCGTCGGGTCGACGCCTTTTTGAGGCGGCGGCATGTGACGGTGTCGCGCGAACGCTAGGAGAAAAGGGAAGGAAGAAAGATATCGAGCAGGAAAAGAAAAAGAATGTCACCACGCCTCAACGGAGCCGAACATATCCCACATATCCCACAACTTCAAACGGATAGCTTCAAAGTATGAAGTACCAGTGGTACTATCAGCTCCAAACAAACTAAGAAAAAAATGTGTCCTAAGATTAATTCGCAAAATGAAAATAACAACTGCACCGTCAAGCATACGCACAAGTACGTCAACTGCAACATCAACGTAGTGTACGAAATTCCATTCACATGTGGGAAAGTCTACATCGGACAATCTGGGCGCTGTGTGAACGTGAGATTTCGAGAGCATCACCTTTCTCTGAAATCATCACCATCGGGACATCTCGCCATGCATGTCCGGGACTGCCACTGCACACCCATATTCCAACAGACTAAGATCCTCAAGCATTACCATAAAAAAAGATCCAGAGAACTCTATGAAGCGAAAACCATATTGTCTCTCGGGGGAGCTTGCATAAGCGCACCGTCAATAGCGTAGTCCGAGAAAGAGATGAGATACCTCGACCTTTTTTCGTAACGCAGGTCGCTTTGATGTTTTATAACCTTATCTTTGACCTGCTGATTTTGTTTATACTTCTGAATTTTTATTACATTCTTTTTTCGCTAGTGTCAAGGGGTGAAGTCAGATTTAGTTTAAAATTTTTAATGCATCTATAAACTGTAAACAATAATTTTTCTTCTTTTTTACCTTCACGTGCCTAATTCTTCTTTTATGTCTTCCTCGGGGAATGCCTTAAACTTCCAGTTGGAGTAAGCGCTCCGTCCTCTCCCCTCTTTTTTTCCTTGGTGTTTGCGCTTTTGAATTTTTATACAATGTGTAGCCAACTAGCCCAACAGTTAATTTTGATTCACCAAGAGAGGTGAAGCGATTTCTAATTCCCCTCGTTTCATGCACTCTTTCTACATCACCAGCTTTTGCTCCTTTCTGTTGAGCGGCATTGGCGTCGCCGTCGGCGTAACCGCGTGGTGCATTATGGGAAACGTCCCATAATGCAACGCGCGGGACCGTCGTCGTGACGTCACTCGTGACGTCACGAGGGTTACTGGTGACGTCACAAGGGCGACGTTTCGACATCCTGCCGAAACGTCACCGTGCCGAAACGTCACCGCGGTGCATTAGTGGACGTTCCCCATATTGCACCGCGCGGACGTTTCGGCACCGCGCGGTGCATTATGGGAAACGTTCCATAATGCACCGCGGTGAGGCGCGCGCTTTGCATTATGGGACGTTTTCCATAATACACCGTGCGGGAGGGAGGAGGAGGAAGGAGGAGGGAGGTTGTGGAGGAAGGAGGAGGGGAGGAGGAGAGGGAGAAGGAGGGGGAGCGAGGAGGAGGAGAGGAGAAAGGGGGAGGAAGCGAGTAGATGAGGAGGGAGGAGGAGAGGGTACAAATGAGGAGGAAGGGCATACCGTTCCCTCCACACCCTCCCCTCCTCGTCCTGAAGAGCTGCGCTCTCATTCGGCATTACAGGGAGTTGTAAACGTCTTTTATTTTCTTTGCCCTGTCCATCCCTTCCTGCGCCGCGCTTTTTTCCACACCCCTGGTTCTGCTGCTCCTGTTCCTGAGTGCTGGGTCCGTAGCTCTTCCGAGCATTTAAAAAAACAAAACAAAAAAACTGGGGCCGTTGCTCAGTGAGCAGCGCACTCAGCTTCCACGCCGGTGACCAGGCCCCGATCCCTGGCCAGGTTGCCGTCATTTCAGAGATCATTCAGCAGTCACGGACTGACCGACCTACATTTCGTGCTTACGCTGCTCCTGGGGTCGGTTTCCCAAAAAAGCTACTGCTAGAAAAGGCTACCGCTTTAATCGGCACGTATCCTGGCAAAGGACATTTCTGTAGTGATCAGACTAGTAGGGTTTTCCAACATAAACTGTTTCTTAGACAAGACAGTCTTATTAAGACATTAATTGAAATAGTGCGTAGGCCAATACTATTCTCGCTATACTACACATAAAATGCAAAGAGGCTGCCTCGTAGTTCAATTGGAGTATTATGTCTATTGAAAGGTCGCATATATACCAGTGTAAGTGGAGAGATAAACTTAGAAATAGTGGGTTAAAATGTTCCGGTATGTGCTTATTTAACGCTAAGCAGAACAATCTCCACCACGCGTTCATTCTTGGCTTTTAACAAAAACTATCATATATGTAAAATTACGTCAAAACGTTCTTAGCCAATCAGAGACACATTAGCTTTCGCGCATGTTTAGGTAAATTTGCAAATATGTAATGGTTACAACAAACTTCATAATTATTTATTAAAACTGGAACACAAAATTGAACCGTTTGTTATTTCTAAAGTTTCCAACTAGACAGTTAGTTATATTACGCGTAAACTAATGATACATACATTACTTCGATCATTCAACGATTAGGTAGAAAAATTATATACAAATTTGGTTGAATTTGGTCCTCATTTTTTGTCGTTAAAAGTAAAGTTTATACAAATAAATATACTGCGAGATTGCCAATTCAATTGGTTAGGCGTATTACATGTTTCCTTTCGAATGTTTTGGGTATTTATGGTTCGTTTGATGCACACTAAACCACCCTCTCAAAGCCACTGGCGCGAGCGTGAGGCTTGATCTAGTGTATAATTTATGCGAGAGTGCGTTCAATGAGTCGCTGAGTACAGCCACGAGCTCGCACCGTAATCTTTGAAAGCCTTGTTTGCAATATGGAAAGAGTATGTTATATCAAGAGTAGATATACATATTTAAGGTGCTTTTTTGTTTGTTTCACAGCTGGGCGTCAGCCCCCGCTGTCGTTAATGCATTTTATTCACCGCAGTCCAACTCAATAAGTAAGTTGCTAACATTTTACACCCCTCAAGGCAGTGTTGTTTCCATTTGCGAAAACAGGAACAGTAGCCTGTTTCTCGTTCCTCCTTTAAACATGTTCCCGTCACAACTTTTGTTTTCAAAAAGATTAATGTTTCATGTTTGAAGATCAGTGCTATGCGGGGCATTAGCCTTTAATTTACGTTTACAGATGTTAATCTACGCAATATAGAGTGCAGATACGCACAAATAAGTTTGGTTGTGGGCAATTAACGCCTTTCAGAACTACTTTTAATATGATTTGTAAAAATTTTATTTACACCGGAGACGTACTCGTATATTAATATAAATGTAAACTCATTTATACACATGTTATTTTAGAGTTTACAGCGGATCAGCATACTTGACAAACATACCTCCGGCTGGGTATTACATAGGATAGTGTGCTTGCATTAGAATGATAGTGGTAGTAGCAAGGCAGGTTTATACATTTTCTTGTAGTATAAAAGCTATGTGGTGTTTTTGCTCTCATAGTGAATCTTACTAGTTTTAAGGAAGATATGTGGTTTAGGTGCTCTAAAACTATAAAATAGTATATTCAAAAGGTAAAACAAAATATTTTCTGGAGCATTCGTTCCTTTTCTGTCTAGGAGAGCACTACTCGCTGGGACATTTTACTCTCTTTATTTTACTTTTTTTCAGACGGTCAAAATTATTAAATAATTTCACTTGGTTAATTACCCTTTTTAATATGTGTCATTTTTTATGGAAGTTTTTCTTCTGGAAGTTCACTTACTGAAGCTATATCTTTTTTCTTTCAGCATTTCCTGCTGGTATACTTCAAGCACCTTTATTTGAATATGGATTACCAATGTAAGCCATAATAAAAAAAAGAATCTGTAGAAGATTGCAAAGTAATGTAGAGTCACGCAGAAACTAAAAATCTCTAATCGAGGGGCCGCTGTCCCCCCTTTAATCAGACCACGCTGAGAAGACGCTGATGATAACAGCAGCAGTTTCTTTGCTTTGATCGGCCCCCCCCCCCCCCCCCCCCCCCCGTCTGCTTTCGCGTGAACGAGTCCTGACGTCAGCACTAGTACGAAGGAAAACTGCGAAGATAGCGCTCCTCAAAAAACAAGCCTTCGCTCGCCTGGAGCTATGTCGTTTCTCCCTGGCTGCACATCGCGAAATTTACGCGTGACACGGTGTACTCTTGCTGTGGATGTAAATTGACATATTAATAGCTATCCGTGTTATATGAACTAGAAATACACGCACTTTTACATCCAATTTCGTCGCGTATTTCGTTCAAAACACGGTTGGTGCTTTGTTATGTTTTTTTTTTATAAAGCTAGCGTGTTCCGTCAAAGAAAGCTTTCAGATAGTTGCTTTAATTTTTAACGAGCTTATAAGACAAAAGTTACTGCAAAGATTTTCTGCTTCAAATGTTTATCACAATTTGTGCGACATAAAATATAAAAGAAATTCTTTTTTTCATAGGCATATCAATCTTGGAGCAATAGGAACGGTTATTGGCCATGAAATTACGCACGCCTTCGATGACACAGGTAACTACACTGATATACTATGTAGCGATGGAAACACGCAAGTAGGAAAAATAAACGTCAAACGGTTTGTAGTGATTTGACATGAGCGACCGTTTAAACGTTGACATTCATCCGTTCACTTGAAGGAATAGGGTGTAAGACGACTTGTGAACATTGTACCTATTCCACAATCCTACAGGCACCAAAGAGATAGGGGAGAACGTAGATACACGCGCTGCACACGTTCGCTTTGTGTGCTCAAAAACATTTTAAAGTAAATAACCGATATAAGGCGTTGAGGAACTGACGTGTGAAATGCCATTCGTTTTATGTTTGCACTAGAACTGCTACCGCTGCAGTCACCAGCACGTGCGATGCATCTAAATACACTCGAAGCGGGCTTCTTATGTGTTGAGATTGTTTAGCGCAACGTCTACTTGAGGGTAAAAGATTTTTTTCTTTTTTTTTTGCGTCAACGCTTAGAACATTTGCCAATATCAACATCATTTATATCATAAATAGAACTACAGTGTGGGAAGTAACAATATCAAGATTAACTGATGCTTACTGCTCACACCCGTAGTTTTTAATAACTAATCATTGATATTAAATAGTGTCCTGCTCGAAATGCAGGTAATTCGATTAAATGCTTAGTTACTTTACAGGACGGTAACCGATTCATTTGGTTCTTTGCCATGTTTCTTATGATTTGTTGGCTCATAGTTATTTTACAGAAACCACCTGCTAAGCAGGTTTTGAACCAACATCTACAAACTGTTTCCTTAAACGTTATGAATGTTGATAAGGCTGATATATTTTGGACATAAAAACGTCGAAAACACTAATCTAAATTGTAAGGAGTTTTGTATTAGACCAGGCTTAAATAATCGAATTCCCGGACTGTTTCGAACAATTTGCAATGTACTTTAAAATAATAAACACTAGCAAAAAAAAAAAGTTTTTTACCAGTTTTTTTTCGAGGTCGCCAAAACACGATATCTTAATTCAAAAATCACGAAGATGTGTAATGGTCGCAACCAATTAAAAAATACAGTTTAGAACTCATCTTTAATAAACACTAATGTATAAATCCAATATACGCCTTAACAATGCCCTCCAGGTTGCCTATTGTAGTAGAAATCGAAGGTCATTTTTACGTGGAAAATCTTTATCTTGCGGCGACACGTAACTTACGTAAATTTGTGTTAACACAAAATTATTTCAGGTTGACTCAAAATATTTGCTGATGTCAATACGCAACATTTGAAGGCCTAATAAGCTTACAAAAAACGCATTTTAAGTTTTTTCTTTTTTAGTTTTGTATAGTAACAACATTCGGCACCGAAATCTGCTCCGAATCGTTTTTAGTTTAGCTTTAAATATGAACCTCCATAGTAAGGTGCCTAGAGCGCGCCTTCGACTGGCGGGTTTACCGCGTCCAAAAAAGTGGACCCTTTAACTCCGCCCGATGACGTCATAAAAGAGTCACGCTGTCGCCGACCGCGATCCTGGCGGAGCCCCAACAGCCGTGGGGTATGTGGCAGGCGCCCGTTCTGCTGCAGGTCGCTCTCCAGTGCGACAGTCCACCAAAGTTTCGGCAGCCAGGGGTTGGGACGCTGCGACGAGAGCGAAACACGCGTTTGCTCGTGCTTTTTGCCGGAACCTCTACGGTCCACCACCAGGGTCGCAACATCCGACAGCATGACAGCCCGGCTTTTGTGACCTCATTTGTTGACACTCCGGGACAACTTGAGAGGCATGGGCGGAATAGAACGCTCGACACACAAGTCAGACACGCGTTACGGGCACAGTCACCAGAGTATAGGAAATAGTAAACAAACCACGCAAAAAGATGAGAAAAAAAAAACAACAGAAAACGCGGACATCGGTGAAAAAACAAACAAAAACAAGCGGGAGAACAAAATAGTTACATTATTTTATTTGATAACACTATTTGCGATTTTCCATTAGGTTGCCTAAGCCCATTTGACTGTATTGTCCCTAAAGTCCGGATTACCGTACAGCAAAAATAAAATGTAAGAAACACTAAGAAAACGGGAGCAATTTTTTAAATATAATAATTTTCACCGTAGCCTCCCCTCTACTGGCAAAGCCTGGCAGATCGCCACAAGAAGCGGCCGGGAAGTGCCACGCGACGGGCGCCCCACTGTGGCGAGACGCCGAAACACACTTCTCCCTAGCGATGATATGTCCTTTCGTGCTCCTCGCGTTCCTCGCGCTACCGCTTCTTTTCTCGTCGGGTTTGAAAACCATGTTTCGGGTCCTCACCGCGACAAAAGCTGTGCGCTGACATCCAGGTTCCCCGAGAAATGCTCTGTGCTACCAGATGCTCGCGCTTCAAATCTGCGACCGGGCACTCTACGGCATCCTTGGTCGAACTGCAGGCTTTGTGATTATTGTATTCACTTACCATCACAAAATACGTAGGGGCATATAATATCCATCATTTGCAAGATATATATATATATATCTTATACAACACGAACCTTCAATATTAGGTAGAACTGTAATATTTGAGAAGAATCCGACTTGTAGTCAATATAACCATTTATGATGGTATTGTTGCTGTGACGCCATATGTAGCACGATTGATCTATTTGTGAGCAGCAGTAAGATGCATGCCTTAAGAATAATCTTATTTTTAAATTCGGCTTCTTACAGGCAGTCAGTTTGACGAAGAAGGTAATTATCGAAACTGGTGGACGAACAAAACCAAAGAGAAGTTTTTGAGAAAAATTAAATGTTTTGAAGAGGAGTACGGTAACGTTACGGATAATAGAGTCCACGTAAAGGTATGTACAAAGTAATACTTTTTTATTATTCTAGGCCTAAGTTTCCCGAAACAGGTGTGAACGGGTTAGAATTTGAGGCTTTATATTGATCCTAAGGTGTTTTCCCATGCCCGACGGAGTAACCGGCTGAAACGCCATATGTATGGTGTGTGGCAACTGAAATCTTTTTAATTAAAAAACAAACGTTTTAACCTGAAAATGTAAAATTTTACGGCCTCGTACTTAAGATAGCTTTATGATCATGCTTGCTGGTCTAGATATTGAGCCCGCGGCGGTATTGAAAATGAAGACGTGACGGCGATCCCTAGTCTGTGCAGCCTACTCCGATGTGTTCGATCCTCGCGAAGCACAACTCACGCTCCGAAGCTGCGCCGGTAGGAAGCCGGAAGTTCTGTCACTGTTTGCATTTCGTTTGAACCGCATAGTACGTGGCTAATCCCATTTAGAGAAACTCTGTCAAAAAGGACACAGGAGTTCTGAAATTGGGTTTTAGCAGTTTTTTTAAAAATTAAAATCAGTTTTATGACCGAATTGGGCAGGCATGAAACAAACAAGCATTTGTGGTGGCAAACTGTTTCAACACAATAACATTATTATTTTTTAAATATATTAAAAAAATACATTACTACTTTGAATAGATCTACACAACAAAACACAAGAACAACATTCTCATCACACTCTACAATTATAAAAATGAACTATAAGAATAGTAAGTGTATATGCAACACAATTTACTCAACGAAGGCCAATATGTGGGAAACCGCTAAAAAGAGATGGAGAGTGGAAAATAAGGGAGGGGGGTATGTGCCGTTGTTCGGGTGCGCGACACTATTACGCTACAGGAGAATGACGAATCAACTCGTGGCCTCCTGCTACGAATACACGCGACATGGAAACCGCTTCTGCTATATGCGGATGTAAAAAGCTCAGGTTTGAATTTCTACAGTGCTTTTTCTACCCGATCAAAAGCGGTTTTATCCATTAATGAAGCGAACAAATGTCAATGTAAGTAACGAAAACCCTGAGTTATTTTATATTCTAGACCATGCGGCAGTGGCATACTTGCGCTAAGCGAGCGTGGTTAGCCTGAGTAATAGGCGAGGCCACACTTAAAAAAAAAAAAAAAGTGAGTTCATGTTGCTTCAAAATATGTAGGCAGCAAATCACGGCCGACAATATATGTTTCCAGTCAGGGATGGGCAGTATTTCAAATACAAGTATTTGAAGTACGTATTTTAAATACTTTGTGCATTTTGCATTTGTATTTAATTACAAATTGGGTAATGTATTTGACGCGTGTATTTAAATACTAAAACGTGGGTATTTCAAATACAGTTCTAATTGAATACAATTTTGTGGGCGAAAATACATCCCTCAAATTTATGGTCACTGTCCAGAGCAGGAAGAAAACTACTTTATGCACCGAATGCAGTGTCTCTCAATCAAGCATAAACGTTTGGTGACTTTGTGATTACGGTGCTAGTCCAGGGCAAGAATAGTGACGAAATAGACGTTCACAGGCAGACTGGCTAAATAAGTGCCTGTGACAACTTGTGATGCTTTCCGGCCTGATTTCCATCCACATTTTTGCCTGACACATTCTAAATGCGCGGGTCGTCCAGATTTTCGTAACTGGTGCGCGTTGCAACAATAAAAAATTCTCTAGCTAGTGCTGCGCATCTTGGTCGTCTCGGTTCTTTGTTGGTCCATACCAAAATGTAATCGACAAAAAAAGCTGCTTGGAGCTCTGTACTTTTTTCACCTATTACGTCCAAGCTGATTACATTCTTTTGTGATTATATTTCTATTACGTTACTAGAGCCTCGCACACTAACTCCCGAGTGTGCAATGAAAAATTAAAATGAGATACCCAGAAACCCGTTGCAGGTGCCCTGAAGTCGCTGACGCACATTTTGAGGAATGTATTTGGAAAAGTATTTGTAGGAGACCATATACATTTGGTTGTATTTGTATCTTGTACACGAATTCTTTTTTGGAAATGTAATTAAATTTGTAATTAAATACATTTTTGACAAATTATTTTGTATTTGTATTTCGATGCATATTTGCATGTATTTTGCCCATCCCTGTTTCCAGTTAATGATAAGCCTGAAAAGAAAACTAGTTCTTAAAAAATTAGAGGAGGACGCTTAGGGGGGAACTCCCGCGATTTTTTGAGCAACCCCAACTAACTATATATTTTCTAAATCGCCGTCCTTTACTCTTTTCGATATGCTATTTAGTATCGCGAAATTCAGAATAGTTATTGTGAAATCGGCAAATGAAAATGACGCCAAAACGAAGATTTGAATATTCCCGCGCTTTTCATTGCCCTGACGTCACGGGTGGGCTGGCTCGTGGTTCGAGCGGGCAGCCTAAAAATGAGCTATGCTGAGCATTTGTATCGTGCTCCTGTGCGGGAGCTGGAGCGACCTTCTAAAGCATTCGTTTGACACCATAAAACTGTTTGTAATCAGTTGGGAACAAAGTCTACAGCCCAAAGAGTGAACTCCTGCCCACCCATAACGTCACTTTATCAATGTTGCCATTAGAGCTTTTCACTTTGAAAAACACAATGAGGACCAAAATTGTAAATTCTGTAACTCCGCGAAAAAAAGTTATTTTGTCCAAATATTTGGGTTACTAGTTGAGCGATTGGTGTGGCTAGCAAGTTTTTAGGCATCGGGGACTATGAAGAACACGGCGCACTGAGCACCATTATATTGGGCGGTATTTTGCGCCAACTAGTTGAAAGTGGCGGATGCATAGGAAGGCGTGTGGGCCGCATTTCTTCGCCAGTGTCGGCCATGTGGCACAGGTTACCCAGTTCAGAGGGGCGCCTAATAAGATGTTAATTCTCAATCGCAAGTGCGCCGCCGTCTTTTTTTTTTTTTACTGCTTCCTAACATTTTAACTTTGAATTTAAACAAAATGACTTCAAGCACGAAATGGTAATCAAAATATGTTTAGAACCCACTTGTAGAAGTATTTGCTTCGCTTATGTTTATTGACTTTTTCTACGCATCTAAGCGTTCGTAATGTAATAAACCATGCTTCTGCCCGATGGAGACATGTCTACCAAAGGCGTAGCCCATTTTCCTCACCGAGTCTGGTTCTGATTTCGAGCGAAGGACGAGTTTGTAATCTACACACCAAGTTTGCGGCAGAAGTTGAGCCGCGATGAATTAAAAAAAATTACCTTTGTTCTCTTCCTTTCAATGTAGCGGTGATTCTCTCCCGCTATGTATAGAGAAAAATGAGACATTATATTTAGAAGAATAGTAATACATGAGCCAAAGTAGGTGTGTTTAATTATTTGTCCAAGTTAAGGTTCGAAATTTTAGTATGTACTGTGTTACGGCCCAAAATAAACAACATACTGAAAATAGACTACCTAAATTTGAATGTTCGTGGCATTTTTTAGAGTGCAGCACTTAGGCGCCCGTTTCCGGCTTGAGCGGCGTCGGCGTCGGCGTAACCGTGCAGTGCATTATGGGTAAATTTTCCTGCTAAATTTTCCGCTAAATTTAGCGGGAAAAATATTCCGCTAAATTTAGGTGGGAAAATTTCCCCGCCAAATTTATCGGAACATTTCCCCCGCTATGTTTAGCGCGGAAAATTTCCCCGAAGAATTTAGCGGAAAATTTTCCCCGCTATATATAGTGGGAAAAATTTTCCGCTGAATTTTGCTGAAAATGTTTTCCTCTAAATTTAGCGGATAAACATTCCTCGCTAAATTTAACGGAAAAATTTCTCCGCCAAGTATAGCGAAAACGTTTTCCCCGTCAATTTCAGCAGAAAAGATTTCCCCACTAAATATAGCGGAAAAATTTCCCCGCCCAATTTAGTGGAAAATTTTCCGCGCCAAATTTAACGGAAGAAATTTCCCCACTAATTGAGCGGAACAAATTCCCCGCTAAATTTAAATAAACAATTTTCGCGCTAAATTTAGCGGAAACAATCCCCCGCTAAATTTAGTGGGGAAATTTCCCCGCTAAATTTAACGGGGAATTTTCCGCTAAATTGAGCGGAAACTTTCCCCGCGGAATTTAGCGGAAAACATTCCCCGCTAAATTTAGCGGAGAAATTCCCCGCTAAATTTAGTGGGAACATTTCTGCGCTAAATTGAGCAAAAAATTTTCCCGCTAAGTTTAGTGTAAAAATTTCCCCGCAAAGTTTAGTGGAAAATTTTCCCCTAAATGGTTGCAGGGGACGAGGGGCATACCATCCTGTCTGAACTTTACACTCCTCCTCGTCCTTCTCAAGAGCTGCCCTCTAATTTGGCGTTACAGGGGATCCTAAAAGTCCTTCATTTTTGTAGGTTTGGTATGCTTGCAACATATCACCATAATTGCATTTGTTTAGCACCAAACGGTGAGATATGTAGCGTTATGAGAAGCAAGCAATTTCGAAAATCATCAAGATTATTCTAAACCGAACACAATTTGAGTACACAATGGAGCTAGTGATGGTTAAGCACAATGAAGTGTACCCAAGACTGGGCTTCATCAGAGGAATAAAAAAATACAGACGTTTCAAAAACGTTTATAGCTATGCTTTAGACGTTTATGAGTGTCATTCCGTACGTCTCCGGTACTTTGAACTATATACAATTGGAAACAAAGAACTTTCAGCATTAGCCTCATTCAGTTTACTTTGACTTACTGCGAACTATTAAAATTTTTGTGAGAATTATTTTATTAGATAATTTAAGTGAGAGATTTTATTACATTGAATAATATCGTTGTCCTTTATGGACAGCCTTACAGACATTATAAAGGTGAATCCCATGATCGAACAGTCTAATTCTGCCTGAAAAAATAATTCTCTTAAAAGTTGACACCCGTATTTAAAATAAGCTGCATGCCATGTAGCTGGAAGTAGCAGCAATGATTTGTGTCTAATTTTTTTACTGATATACGCTCAGCAGCCAATGGCCACCACAAAGCATTAGGCCTATTGTCGTCCAAGTCTATCCAAACCCGGCCGAGGGAAATCTCCGTCATCATAGTTTACAGCACACACCTTCGAAACGTAAAGGTGAACAAGATAGGTGCAAAATGTAGCTATGCTCCGTTTTTAAGAAGTACAAAGTATGGATATGCAAAATTGCCCAGCAAGCGGATAAAACGCATTGCATAGTCTTAATATCATTAATGTGTTAGCCAATCTGAAAAAAAGCACAAGGGAAATTTATAACTTCCAATTGAATAGTGTATAAGGATGGGTACCGCTCTAGATGCTTAAACGAGCCACTGACACACATATATTGCTGAAGGTTGTATCCTAAACTCTTGCATCATTATAAATTAATTTATACGGACAGTAGCACGAAAACAATAAAGTCAAACCATCAAACGCGTAATAAAATCGATTGCCGTGCCGCGAAAGAAATTGTTTTTTGACAGAGTACCTAACCTTAAGACCTATGTTTGCCGATATCAGTTGCCCTCTCGTATCTCGCTTTAAAATGTTTAATTACAGGGTTCGTATTACACTTAATGTGACTAACCCATTTTATTTGCTTCACATGTTCAGCTCAATGGAGTCCAGTCAAAAGGGGAGAACATTGCAGACAACGGAGGTCTTAGGGAAGCCTATCGTGTGAGTAAAACAACGCTTTTATTAGATGCGTTCTGGTTTCCAGGGTTAGCAATCTTAAAAGTAGTATTTTAATACCTTTGTTACCTGTATTGATAGAGGGAAAAAACAGTAACTGCATTCGAGATTATTTGCAAACATTTTATTTGTATAGAGGAAGGTTCCGCTGATTATTTCAGTCCTCAGGATCTTCGGGAAAATTCTTCTAGCTAAACTTAATGAATAATTAAAAAAAAAAAAAACGAGAAGAGGATAAGTAGTTTTCAAAAATATATTAGGAACTTCTATAAAGAGCTTATTCATATTGCAAGCTTTTATATTAACGGCGGAAGTTACTAGATCATCTAAAAGTTTCTTGTCATTAGCTTATCACCTATAAATCTGCTGGTGTATAGTGGTACAGCTCCAGACCTGAAGACATTTTAAATCTATTTACGACGTGTTAGTATAAACTCAGAAAGTATCTCCAGAGACAAGTTTATTGAGTGTGCACTTAAAATAAACTCTATATATATATGCTCGGCTTAAGGCCCAGAGTCTTCATATTAATAATGGTAAAAGTACTACCCCCTTCGTCACAAATAGTTAGAAAATATTAGCAAATAAAACTAAAACCGAAAACACGAGTTTCCCGTGTACCTCTCGGATAAATAGCACGCAGAGCAAAAGCGAAAAACCTAGACATACTCGAATTCTGTTTACTCCTCTTTTCTTTTTTCTTCAGGCCTCACCAGCATGCCAATGGTAATTGTGGAAGCATTAGGATCACACTGATTTAAAGCAGATAGTTATGTTAATGCTTAGTGAATTCATAACAGAAATATTCTCCCAAAAAGCAAAACATGTGTTTTAATAGTGTTTGATTATGTTTATTTTTAGGCATACCGCAGCTGGGCTCTAAAGACGAAATATGGAGTAGCGCCTTCCTTGCCAGGACTGAACCTCACTAGTGATCAGCTTTTCTTTGTATCATATGCACTGGTATGTATCCCAAGCAACTAAAATGCTCGGCCAGCCCCAGAATTTATGCCAGTGCTTAAACTTAACACTGTGATAATATTTAACTTAAAGTGAGAGCTAGTAGTTCGGAAAGAATCGTGATTTTAGTTCCGTTACAAATATTATTAGGTTATTAGTTTTAATATACAGGATGTCAATTTTTTATTTAAGGAATATTTTTAATGGGATGAGATTTATATGGGTGCCGTCTTCACCGTACAATCATCAGTCTCAACGGACGTCAATGGAGTGAATAACCATCACGATAGAGATGAACGTATATCTAGAAAACATAACTACCTTTTTTTTAATTTTTATGTTATAGGTAATGTTGGAATTAGGGTTTTACATTTCGCCATTATAAGGAGCTAAGTCAATTGATACAGTCTGCAAAATTCCATCTGACATTCGTCGATCAGTTTTTGAATTTTTGGTAGACTGATTCCGAAACTGACCGCTGAGGTGCATCGGTCTTTTCGTCCAAAATAATGCATATAAGTGCGTCGCAGTCGTTTTTGTGCTACGTCATCATCTCAGTAGCGTGACTTTGACGGACAAAGAAAGGCGGAACTTTGCAATTCGATGGAATGACACTTGAGTCAATCATTCCTTCGAAAATAAGTAGAAATGTGCATTGCACTTTTGTCAATTTCCTACGAAGTTCAGTAGAACGCGTACCTTAATACAGGGGGAATAGATAGGGATTGAGGATAAAGTTTATTAGTAACAGGTCCTTCATAGTTTTTCTGGTAGAGTGAAGCGCAGAATCTGAATATGGGTTGGCTAGAAAATAGTATAATGGGCTATTTTCTATGGTTTGTTCCTTGAAATATGGCTTACACTAATTCGTGTCTAACATCGGTACTATAACCAAATGCCAGACAGGAACAAAATATATAGCGGTCCGCTTTTAACCCAGTTGTTTCGAAAGGTGCTTCACTTTCTTTTTAGAGATAAAGATTTGACAAAGTTACATTGAAATTTCAAGAGCTGTTTTTTGAAATAGGGGTTTTGCCGAGTGATTCGGTTAAACGTTCTACAAACCCCTTTATATTCATTTAATGACTCAAGTTACGAGGACACTGCAAGTCTAGTTTCCATAAATATTCCCTCAATTGCCCAACGCTGTTTTTAAACTTCTTTATGCTTGCGCAAACTGCCCAAAATAAATGGTCAACGGAGGGATACAATATTTCACATTGCGCTAGAGTTCACTGAAAAGCATGCCAGACGTAAGTTGAAGTAAAATTATACACCTTATGATTATTTTTAATATAAACCGTTGTGCTGTGTGTTCTCAACAGCTATACTTTGTCTCATCCTACGATGGACTAAAGGCGAAAGCCACGGGCAGTCCGGTCCAATCACGTTCCACGCTTCACGCTATACTATGAAATGCTTAACATTGATTAGGGGTGAACAAATGATGCTCGAATCTAAAAGCGCCGCATCATTTCTATAGGTTCGACGCTGCATGCAAAGAGCCAATATGTCGTGACCTTCTTTGCAATGTAAAATTCTTGAGTTACTCAGTGCTCTTCGATTCGAACCACTGTCAACCCCTCCCCTCATCAGTAATCCTCAATGCGGGCACCGATCCGTGCATCGAAGCGAAATACCGCGCAATTTCTAAGTTGCTCGTGATTGTATCTGGCGGTCCTTAGTTTTGCCTTTAGCCCATCGTACGGTAAGACGAAGTATATGGACGCGTCTCCAGTGAATCCCAAGTTACCTGCCACGAAGCAGGAGTCGGATAGCTTGAGGGTTGCTAACGTCTCTGTTTAGTGAGAGTTGTTCGCTCGGGGAGCAGCAGTTATTGCTTGTCGAGTACCATGACTTGTCAACATGTGTATGATATTGACAAGCCAGTGCCAACGCAGGCATAAATATGTCAATATTAATGCCTACTAGAAAAGAGAGCGCGCGCACTGTTCCAGGAGATGTTTCCAAAAGATCCTCTGGTTGGAAATAAAATAAAATATTTTGAGATTGCGGTCTTTCGAACGCTAGTAAAATACAGTTCCTACAGGGAAGGAAGTACACCCAGTGCTATTTGTTCAGGCCAACAAACCGATAATTGAACATTCAATAAGAACAGCCGTTTCTTAAGAAGGCAGAAATTCCACCATGGTACTGCTTATTTCTAATGCAGAAGGTGAGAAGTGACTTTTGAGCAGGCTAACTATAATTGGTCTAGAGATTAAAGTTATCGATAGACCAGAAAACATATTAATATGCATTGTTTTTTTTCTAGACATGGTGCACTAATATTCGCCCAAAACAACTTTTGTCACAAATACACAACGATCCCCACTCTCCTGCGCGGCACAGGTAATGACCTTTCTGCTTGCTTCCTTGAGTTTGAAGTGTAAAGGATACCAGATACAACCGATAATCCTATAACAGAACAGGCTTAACGCAGCATTTTGTTAGTTTTGCTTCGACAAGCAGCCATTTATTGTCTGGAGCCCTTCACCATCCATACGTTAGAGTTTAATGTGTTCAAAAATGTTTGATTGAAAGTATGGTAAAAGCTTATAAAGAAACTTCCCGAGGCTGGTATTACTTGAGGCAAAAGGAAACAGTTAGTTGTTCTTGTTTTTGTATCTCGCATTGTCTTACTAGTTTCAGTGTCATTATTTGTATTCCTTCAAATTTAATGAAAGCATAAAAGATAACTATCCTTATCCCATGTACTCTAATATTTATTTGTTTCATTCATTGAAGTGGTTTGAATCATCAGTGTAATGGCTTCCCATACAAAACAATGTTATGGCAGTTCAAGCGGTCACTACTGCATATTTTCGTATTTTTAGTGGAGCATAAGCCACAGTAAAGCTAATTGCATATAATGGTAGAAGTGCAAGTTGAATTGGATTTGTATTTATACACAAGCCTCATATAAAGAAGCAAATTGTGTAAACTTTCAGCCGCTTACTTATGTTTTGTTTAGCGATGTCTTTTACTTTTAAACAAGTAATTCATACACAAGCTTATGTATTCCAGCAGGGTCTACGTACTCGTTATAAAGTTTGAGAAAAGTTCTGTTGATCAAAAGGAGGTACTAACTGTGACCTCCCAAGTTACAGCATTATTCGACTAATACGGCGGTCGCGGGGCTACCGGGTTTATTGAGAGATGAGTTCTGGTTCATAAATGCAAGCTCTACTTATTTTGAAATAATACTTAAAAAACAAGCGAGCTGGTGATGATTCATGGTAATAAAACCCGAGACTCAGGAACACAGAAGGGGACGAACACAACACAACGTCTCAACGTTGTGTTGTGTTCATCCCTTCTGTGTTCCTGAGTCTCGGGCTTTACTACTTATTTTGTTTTCAAAACTTACATAAAACAATTGATAAATTTATAATCTTAATTTTCATATTATTTGCCGGCACGTGAAGACGCACGACTCACGAACGACATTAAATTATGTTAATGGGAAATAAAAATAATAATTTTGCTGCAGCATTTGCAACAATGTATGTTTTAAACACACATTTTAGGGTTTATGATACATAACAATAATCGTGAGCAAGGGACACAAATAAAATGTGTGGTTATTACTGCATACGTCTTACTTATTTTGCGCCTATAGCTTCACTGGTTTTGATTGTACTAAAAGAGATAGCTCCTTTTCGCAGGTGAAAACAAAATAAAGCACAAAATACTGTGTGCTATTTGCCAATAATGGTTTACTCATTGCCTGTTGCAGGGTAAATGAACCACTGAAGAATACGAAAGCATTTTCAAAGGCATTCTCATGCCCTAAAACCTCGCGCATGAACAAGAAAGACAGGTGTATCTTGTGGTGAAGTGGAAAGTGGAGCCACTTGATGGCGCCTGGTCAAAGAACAATTCAAAAAAGTAAATTAAAAAAAAAATGTCATTAAGTATGCAGGGGAATTTTGTCTTGCTTTTTGAAGCAGTATTTTCTATCCAGGTGAAATAATAAACACAGTCGTATTTTATATAACATTTTGTCAAAGTGTTCACTGAGAAGTAAGCCAACGACATTGGAATGAGATTATTATGTATGTTCCCACCTTGTTCAGTTACGTCGTCAAGACTAAGGCAAAACAACCTCTTCTTTTTTAATGATATGTAAAACGCTCTAAGATAACTTTCAAAATAAAAAAAAAATATAGAAACTTTTTAAAACATCTTAAATGACGTTACAGATATAATATAGTAGTAGAAACAAAGTGGGATCAGAGATTACATAAGTGAGAAAAATTTTCGGAAGCAGCCTGGCAAAGATCCTCCAAATTGCCGGCGTGGGCAACCATTGCGCTAACCACTCATGAACTCCCACGAGATTTGCAGGAGCAAGTGGAAGTCAAGACACCAAGGACTGTCGAAGACTTGCTCCAGTCCTTGCTATTTTTTTCCAACTTGTTTGTATGAGAGAGTGGTAATAAACTCGTGGTGGCAGCTGGTAATACCCCTGTGTTCTACTGACGTCTAACTCCTGGTTATATCATTTCGTGGAGCGCTCCACTGGAAATGGAGAGGTTCCTGGCTCGATACTAGGACCAGGGGGATTTGTTCGGTCGCGCGCCTGTCATCGGGGATCTAGCTGTGTATGGAGATTTGTGTTCGTCCTTTGTTCGCCTTGTTCCCCTTCTCCAGGGATCATTATCGGCATTCTTGTCCAGGTCGCTTGCACCTTTGTATTAATTGCATTACCACCACACTCATGTGTGCCAGTAGTGCAAGCTCCATTTTTTCGAGATGCAATCTGTGGCGCAGGCGACCCGCCAAAGATGTTCCGCAGACTCCTTTTTACTTGCCTGCAGTAAACTTCCCAAATGCGCAGAAGGGCCAAACCTCAACCATGTCAAACAAAGAACACACACACACACAAAACGATCTCAGCATGATCCGTCTTCAAAAAGAAAGGAGAGTATCTGCCTAACATTGTGAAATTTTCCCGACATGCATGTTGCAGTAAATGGGCGACCAATGCAAGCTCTCATAGGCGCTTGCATTGTAATATGCAGAATAAAAACATTAATAGTGCATTTAACGAAACACAAATCACTTAACACTTATAAAATTTAGAATACAGGCTTAGTCTTATCTTGAGCGATTAAGGTGGGCGATCCTTGAAGAAATATATACTGCTGGAATTGGAGCAATTATTATCGATGCTACTTTAAAGGGCGTGGGCTTAATACACTCATTAAAACCTCGGTCTATATTAAGGCTATAAGGCCTTACTATATTAGCATGATTAGAATGCCTCCACTGGCTGCACAGAATTTTCAAACAGTAAGCCGAGTATATTTATAGGGCAACCATAATCGGCTCCAAAACAGTTAGCGCTAAAAACAATGGACAGGAACGGTCAGATGACTGAAAGAGAAGGACAAGTCTTGTACTTGTCCTTCTCTTCCGCGCTAGCTCTTTATGGGATATTTAACGAATTACGATAGCAACTTATATTGTTGTAGCCATAGTCAACCTGATGATCGAATATGTGTTTGTGTATATTTCCTAATTTCTGCAGCGACACTGCCTAAGTCCAGGTGGACGTGCTCTTCGTCCTTTTATGCGGAGCGTACGTTCGTCTGCTTCTTTTGCATGGGCACGTCCGAACACCGCATTGGCTCTGATTGAAGGGTAGTGGATAGAACTCAAAGCAAGCTGCCTTGAGCTCTAACCACTACCCTTCATTCAGAACCAATCAGAGCTCGGCGTTCTGACACCACCACAACCCTTCAAAAGAAGCAGACGAACTTGCACTCCATAAGACGACTTGCAAAGGTGCCAGACTGCAGCCGCCATTGCTGGCCTTCTCTTTTCTAACCCAGATGCCGCGAGCCTCTGAAGCGGGCGTTCACGGGCCTTTACAATTGTCTATACCGAAGAAAAGGACACAGTATAGACGCTTTGCAGCAGCTGTGCGTGGACGCGGCCCTAATTGACCTTCAGTTTTTATTTCCTCTTATTCCGTTTATTTCACTTGATCATTACCATAGCAGGCCAGGTTATTGTCATATTAAATTCAACTGTGTCCTTTTCTAAAGCATCGGCCTTTGTGTAGGGTCGTCAACTACCTTTTCAGTTGCTCGCGAGCATCTCGGTAAGACAAGAGAAGGTCAGCAATGGCGGCTGTAATTTGGCGCGTTTGTAAAGCGCCTATAATCTAAAATGGCAATAACGTGTCCTGCTGCGGTAATGATGAAGTGAAGAGAACAGAATACGAGGGAATAAAAAAAAATGAAAGACGTTTACAGTTCTCCGAAATGCCGAGTTAGAGCGCAGCGTGAAGTCACCCTCATGACGTCACGAGGACATACCCTCCCCGCCGTACCCTCCCCTCCCCCTCCTCAAGAGCTGCGCTCTAACGTCACACGTGACGTCGCCCTCGTGACCCTCGTGACGTCACATGTGACGTCATCATGGGAAACGTCCCATAATGCAACGCGCGGCTACGCCGACGCCGGCGCCGACGCCGCTCAGTCCGGAAACGGGCGCCTTAGAGCTGCGCACTAAAACATTAGCTCCCAGCCAGGTATTTCTAAGAAGGCCTGTGTGTTTTTGGAGATCATGCCGGAGCTTCGGCGTTGCAGTTTTTACAGCGGAGCGGTTAAGGGCCAGTTTCCCAAGTTTCGTGTCCGGTGTCGATGTTGACACAGAGCTACACATCCATTGCCTCGCAGATGTTGACACAAAACTACACAAAACTCTTGACAGCTACTACTATATATGAGCGACGGCGGCAACCAGACAAGCAATCTGGTTGCCGCCATCGCTCATTGATGGCGGTAACCTTTCCAGCATTTCCGTCAAAGGTACGCGAGGGTCCGGTGGTCGCAGTCGTGTACGTCCCCCCGCGATGCCCAAGATATACATTGAAGTATTCATAATGGACGTCTTCGACTGGGCCATGCTCGGCGACGACATGTTTGCCGTAATGACGGGTGGCTTTAACGTTGACATTGCATGCCAGGAGGGAAAGTGGTTAACTTCATTTATGTTCGGGCGCTACGGGTTTGCGTGTGTGAACGAACCTAGGATGCCCACGACCAGGCATCGGACTTGTATAGATCTCGTCTTCACGTAGAACGTGCCTGCCGTCAGCGTACACCCTATGGCGGTGTACCACAGCGATCACAAAGCAATGGTCACTGTGGTTACGAAATAAACAACAACCCCGGATCGTTATATAAATGTCGGATTCTTTAATCGCTTAAATAACCAATTACCCAATCACACCTTAATCCTTTCATTTATAAATACTTCATTCCCACCATGGTACAGCTTCGCTGGTCTTCCTTCTTCGCCAGAGTGTAACGGCTGACAGTTTTTTTTTGTAATTAAATATCCTGTTCACACAACAGAACTTTGAATGGGTAGATGTAGCACTGGAATTCCACTCCCACACAGTGAATATCAAAGCCTTAGCGATTGAAGAAATGGAGGGCACATTGCTTTTGTCACACCCAGACATGAAGCAGCTGAAACTAAACCGCTACCGAGACGACACTTTTTCGGTTGATCTACCGCCACGGAGTTCGGCACTTTTACGAACTCCTACCGTCTAATTGTCCACCATCAAGGCAACATATGATGTCACTAAAAGCCTTCCGCAGCTGGTGTGCGTGGAGGAATATGCACATAGGACTGCCAAATATGATCTGCCCTTTGAGCTTGAGTACAAAATCGTGGTGAGTATATAACTTTACAACACGAGACGAGAAAAAGTTGTGGCCCCAATGCAAGCCTTCCGTTTTCTTTCTTTTTTAATATTTTATTATTCTTTCTGAAATGGACAGAGGTCCATTCCGTCTTTGCACAAATTTGAGCAGTTTATCACCAGGCATCACTCATTTCTTTTCCATTGCCTCGCATCGGCGCTATAATTAAAGAAGCCGAAGAGCGCAAGTACTTTTCAAGGATTCCCTTGTATAAAGGGTTCTGGCAGGTACCTCTAGGAGAAGATAACAAGTTCCAAACGATTCTATTGCCATTTAACATCTTAGAGCACAGGCGCTTACCATATGAATAAAAATATTTCTCCTACAGGTTTCAAGAAATTATGTAAGCGGTCTTGCCCCTTTGCCTCGGAAGGCTCCGCAATCCCAACGCAGATAACATTATCACATACAAAGACAAAGAGCGAGCATGAGACAATTCCGGCGCCATCTTGTCCGTTTTGTGGGATGCCAAGATGATAGAAAGCCTCAATAAAGGTGAATTTTTCAAGAACAAAGTGGTATTCATGGGCATACTTCTGTACCGTGGAACCAAAAAGCGAAAGTAAGAGTCAGTTTCCTGTATGTCTCAACTTACGTAACCCTCCGAGGTGCACTCGGTTCGCGTGTTTATGCGCCCCGCCGGGCATTCTCAGGCATTTATTTAAGACGACTATACGAAGAGTCGTGTCTTGATCAATTTGACTCAAAAAGAGGCAAAGTGTGAGTGTATTCAGAAACGCCAATTTGAGTAGCACGTCCTTGACCGTATAATCTCGTGGGGTACTGTCTTCGTTTGCCTAATTTAAGGCTTCCAATTGAGCGTAACACCTACGCTTTACACTACTCTACAGGTGGAGTGTGTTAGGACGTGGTAGTAAAAAAAACAACCTCCCAGAAGCTTCATGTTGTGAGTTATCACAGCAACAGATTCACAAAACATAAGTAAGCGACGCCACTACTGAAAATTAGGCCCAAGCATTAAAGGCTCCAGTGTTTTATTTCCTAACTGGAATTATAGAAATTCAAACTTATTAATGATAAGAAAGTGCTCACATTTTGACCCAAAATGACGAAGCCAAAGGACAAAATATCTCGATGGATTAACGAGCTGCAGCAGTTTGACTTCGAAGCAAATCGACGTCCTGG